CTGGTTGGGGAGGAAACGTTGTCGGACCACTCTTTCATCAGGTTTGAGGTGGCTCCACAAGGGGGCTCTTTGCCTCGACATCGCTCTGGTGGAAACTCTTCGGAGTTCCCCCGTTGGTCTCGGACCAAGTTTGAGAGAGACATGGCGACAGAGGCGTCAATCGTTCAGGCCTGGACCATGCGGGTTGAGCAGCCCGTTGAGGTGGATGGGGAGGCGCGCAATTTCCGCCGCAGCCTATGGCGGATTTGCGATGCGTCGATGCCCCGCGTCGCGCAGCGCCCTCCCAGACGCCAAGTGTACTGGTGGACGTCAGAGATCGCGCAGCTACGTACAGCATGCGCGGTGGCGAGACGCCAGTACACTCGTCAACGGAGGCGGCATCCTCGCAACGAAGCCGACGAGAGCAGGCTTCGTGACGTCTATAATGAGGCGAAGAGAGTACTTAGGCAGGCCATAAGCAGGTCAAAGGAGTCGGCTCGCGAAGAATTACTCGCGCGTCTAGACAATGACCCGTGGGGGCGTCCGTACCTCGGTGCCCGAAACAAAATCCGGGCCCAGACCGCCCCGGTTACGGAGAGTTTGGAGCCAGAGTTCCTGCGAAGCGTCGTGTGCACGTTGTTCCCAACGGAGGCCGCACACACGATGCCAGCAGGCAATCCTCGCGAGTTGGACCGGTCGGAAGCCATACCGGCCGTAACCCTGGAAGAGCTCGAGAGATCCCTGTCGCGACTCAGAGCCAAAAAGACCGCCCCTGGGCCGGACGGCGTCCCTGGATGCGTCCTGGCTCTCGCCCTGGGCGAGTTGGCTGAGTGGTACTTGGGGATCCTCAATGGGTGTTTAAGGGCGGGCCGCTTTCCATCTCCTTGGAAAGAGGGGAGGCTCGTCCTGCTCCAGAAGGGAGGAAGACCTGCAGACTCGCCGTCTGCATATCGTCCCATCGTCCTGCTAGACGATGCGGGGAAGCTCTTCGAGCGGATCCTCGCGTCCCGTGTCGTCCGACACATCAGCAGGGATGGACCCGATTTGGCCGAGTGCCAGTATGGTTTTCGGGGTGGACGGTCTACAATAGACGCCATCCTGAAGGTGAGGAGCCTTGCTGATGACGCCGTGTCTAGGGGCGGAGTTGCGTTGGCGGTGTCCCTTGACATCACCAACGCGTTTAACTCGCTTCCCTTTGGCGTCATTGAAGAGGCCCTCTGTTACCACAGACTGCCGCACTATATTCGGCGGGTAATCGGGAGTTACCTCCGCGGACGGGAGATCTCGTTTGTGGGGGTAGACGGTAGGGTGCATCGTCACGAGGTGCGCTGCGGTGTTCCGCAGGGGTCGGTCCTCGGACCTCTCCTGTGGAACCTCGGGTACGATTTCGTACTCCGCGGTGCCCTCCCGACCGGGCTGAGCGTCGTCTGCTATGCGGACGACACGCTCGTTGTAGCCCGAGGCGGTGACCTGGCAGAGGCGAAGGCGCTTGCCGAGGCGGGAACCGCCTTAATCGTACGGCGCATAGAAATGCTCGGGCTGAGGGTGGGTCTCGAGAAAACCGAGGCCCTCCTGTTCCACCGCCCTCGAGCAGGACCTCCGACGGGCGCCAGCATGAACATCTGCGGCGTCCGCGTCGAGCTCAGTCCCCGGATGAAATATCTGGGGCTGACTCTGGACGGAAGGTGGAACTTCCGGGAGCACTTTCGCGGGTTAGTCCCGAAACTCCTCGGGACGGCGAACGCTCTCGGAAGGCTCCTACCGAATATCGGTGGTCCGAGCGTGGCATGCCGGCGTCTCTACACCAGTGTGCTGCGCTCGATGGCGCTGTATGGAGCTCCAGTGTGGGTCGGTGCCCTCACAAGGCCGAACGTGGCTGCGCTGCACAGGGTGCAGCGCGTCATGGCGGTGAGGGTGGTACGAGCATACCGCACTGTCTCACATGAGGCGGCTTGCGTGCTGGCTGGGACGCCTCCCTGGGAACTGGATGCCCAGGTTCTGGCGGAGGTGTACCACCAGCGTGCGCGAGAGCGATCCCGGGGAACGAGTCCGGACCGGGATCGGGTGGAAGGTTGGCGGCGCTCCGCGCTCGCCTTGCTATTTCGCCGGTGGAGGCGGAAGCTCTCTGAGCCAGTGGCCGGATTGCGAACCGTGGAGGCTATTCGCCCGCTCCTCAAAGAGTGGGTGGACCGCCGACACGGTTCCTTGACCTTCCGGCTGGTGCAGATCCTCTCGGGGCATGGTTGCTTTGGGAGGTATCTGTGCCACATAGTCGGAAGAGAGCCGACCGCGGCGTGTCACCATTGCAGTTGCATGGATGACACGCCCGATCACACCTTGGCGGAGTGCCCTGCGTGGGCGATAGAGCGTCGCCAGCTCACCGCGGTGGTTGGCGCAGATCTCTCGTTGCCGGCAGTGGTTCAGGCCATGGTCGGTAGCGAGAGTGCCTGGGAGGCGGTGGTCCGGTTCAGCGAGTGCGTCATCTCGCGGAAAGAGGCCGCTGAACGAGCGCGGGAAGATGACCCCTCCTCGGCGCCCCTGCGTCGACGAAGGCTGGGTAGAAGGCAGCGGGCCTACGCTCGCCAAATGCCTCCCCAGTGAGAGGAGCCTCCGGGCGTTGGTGGGGAACCGGCGTCCGGGCAACATAGGCTGGAGTGAGAGTGGCGTGCTTGGCGTTCCCGGCACGCTGCTCTGGAGTCGGAGGGGAAGTGTGGTGAAGCCACTGTGACCCCTGCCGAAGACGGAGTCCATGGGACTCGTGCGTAGTGAGCGGAAGTATGGCTTGCCGTTCCCGCTCACTAGCCTACGCACAGCGCAGAGAACGCCGAGGAGTTTAGTGGGTGGAAATCCCACACGCCCCCGCCGTGTTTTCCCCCGCGGCGGGAAGTCTTTCAAAGATTCTCCTCGTTAAAAAAAAAAAAAAAAAAAAAAAAAAAAAAAAAAAAAAAAATGTGGTTTCGTTTTATTGTTGTTTTAAAGCACTTTTTGTTAGTTTTTCACTGAAACTTCAAAATGTTATATATTTCCTTGACTTTTTTACTTTTATTTTCACTCAATATTTGTTAATTAGCGGAAATAGTTAATACATTGAAATAATACATAGTCGATGTTAACCGGCAACCGGTACACAAAAATAATCCTTATACTCTGTATTCACGCGCGATGACTTATTATTAATTCATATATGACCTTGGTGTTTCTAAGCCGATTTACATGATTCTTTTTTTATTGAATCAGAAATCTCCGAATTGCTAAGCTATCGGGAGTTTCACGTGTTATTGTGAGTCAACAATAAAAGATAGGCATATGCCGTCAAGGAATACTTTTATATAATTTTAAGAAGAATATTCCCGCCATACATAATTTCTATGTAGTTTTAACCTATAAGGCTGCACACGCGGCGGAATCTTAAAAAATAGAGTAACTTCTCCCGTTTTCCCAATATTTCCCTTCACTGCTCTGCTCCTATTCATCGGAGCGTAATGAAAAGTATACTATAACCTGCCCATGAGTATGAAGAATAATTGTGAAAAAATTTCGTTAAAATCCGTTCAGTAGTTTTTCTTTCCATAACGAATATACAGACTGACAAACTTTTACTGATTGCATTTTTGGCATCAGTAGCGATCCCTAACCACCCCTTGATAGTTATTTTTTAAATATATTTTATGTACAGAATTGATCGCTCTACAGATTTATTATAAGTATAGATAAGGCAAAATAAGTATTGTATTTATAGGAATTACCGTATATCTCAGTTTATTTAAAATAAGTAAAAAATATTCTGACTCGTTTAATAATGAATCTTAAATGCATCATTATCACAACTTAACAGTTTCAAACATGTCTAAGGATTTTTAATTAATGGCTAATGGCAATATAACTCACCCAAATTGAATTTCCTTTACGCGTATAGGTAACGCATACCTGAATATATTGTACTTATTTTGCTCAATATGGGCTGATTTTGTTTTCTTTTTGGAAATAATGCAATTTTAGTCATAGCACACAGCTTTTCTGGTAATTTAATAAAAAAAATTTTTGAAACTTTATCCTTTATTCTTAAGTTGAATAAACAAAAACGATATATAAATAAAAGACAAGATGATTTATCAACAACTTTAATGTTTGATTATATACAAGAGGGGTGACGGGCCGAGCTAACAACATCCAGCGACGACGGGATAAATAAAACTAACTTAGAGAACGGATGTAGGAGGAAGGGGGGGGGGGTTAAATACCTTACACATACATAGTACAGACTATCAAAAATCAAATGTAAAATATATCACAAACATATTATATTTAACCAACTGTATCGTAACAACATACACTTAATTTCCCGCTGCGGTCGGTCATATATAATCAGAACATCGTATCCTACACACAGTAACAGTATCGTGTTATCATAAACGTCTAAAGGATTCAACCTGTAATATTTATTGTATCTCATTATATTTCTATGATACGATAACATGATATATACTTTAATATATGATTCACCGAAATTAAAGGCACAACGTAACGTGCATGCACCATGCGACATGAGATGAAGGACCGGGTGCGGGCGACTAACGGGTCACATACACTCACACTGACCAACAGTGGCGGTGACGATAAAGAAACGGAACGGAACGGGTCCCGCGACTAACATACACGAGTGTACTTCAACGAGGAGAATTTACAGTTACATTACAAGGCCACAACATTGCACACGAAACGAAAAGACTAACTACATACATACTATAATATAATACACTGCCATCCGACATCCACGGACCGAGAACGACACTAGCCTACGATCTGACGTCTATAATATATATAGTAGCGTTAAGACCGCTCGCAACAAACATAATATGTAAAATAATTACAAAATAAAATAACAACAGAGTTATCAAAGCTACTGGATCAAGACGAGAGATGAGATGACGTAACGTAATAATTTAAACACTACCGCTATCACGAGCTCCGGCGGAGACGTGGATAACGTTCACAGCCCTCCTGTAGAGACACACACACGCTCACAGCGAGTCGCGGTGCCACACCCAGGTGCGCTTGGTGTGGTCGAAGCGGTGCGCCAGCCACTGCGCCTGCAGCAGCTCGAGGCGGTCCTGCGACAGGTACAGCGGCTTGCCTCGCTTGAGGTCGCGGTCCTCCTCGTCGTAGTCGTCCAGGTACAGCGAGCCCCACAGGCAGGCGCGCCGGCCGCGGATCACGATGATGTACGTGGACGTCACCACCAGGAAGATGCCCGTGCCGCCGCCGCAGTCCGTCGCGTGCTGCACCGCCTCGGCCACGGCGCGGTGCCGGCAGCACGGCTGCTTGAGGCACACCAGCGTGCCGCACAGCAGGCACACGGACGCCTCCTTGGGCACGGCGCCGCACTGCAGGCACACGCGCTCGTGGTAGTACGTGAACAGGCGGTCGTAGTCTCGCGGGAGGGCCAGCAGTGAAGGCGGCGCCCAGTCCGCGTGCAGGGAGCGCACCACGCGCTGCACACCCAGCTGTCCGCCGGCGGCCGCCGCTCCCAGCTGCCGCGCCCAGCCCCGCGCCGCGCTCGCCGCGTCAGGAGCCAGCGCGGCGTCGGCCGGGCCCGCGTCCGCCAGCTCCAGGAACCGCAGTAGCGACACGAACTCGTCCTCCTCCCTGTCGATGTGAGGTAACTCCGCCCCGTACATGTGCTTACGGAGGAGCGCCGCTATACGGAGGAACGGAACCACCAGCTCCTGGACCTGGAACAGACACGTTTACACATTATAATAAAGCATAAAGACTACAATTAAAATTTCAGTAATAAACAGGAACCACAGTTAATTTGAATCTTGAATTTGTTTTTTTTTATTTTATTTACGGTTCACAAAACAGATTATAACTAAATATACAATTAATTGATAGGTAAACATTATAAATAAGCTGAGTTATATATAACCCAACGACTATGTGAACACAGATTATATACTCAATATTTCACTTATATAAAAAAAATACATCAGCACTTAAAAATACATTGTATACATATAGGCCAGAGCAGATGCCTCTAAAAATGATGAAAAGTGAAAATAAATTATAGTAGAATGAAACCCATTAGAAAAGGAGGGGAAAATTATAAAAATTAAGGGAAAAATAATTTACGGGCGAACTGAGGTCGGGAAGGGTACGGGCGTGGGTATTTAAGGGTAAAAAATGGGTTTTCTAAATTTCCGGAAAAACTAAAGAGTCCAAATGAAAAATGTTATATGGCAAAGTTGTAGGTAATAAAAAGATCTAAAACTTTTGTATTTACACTTTTTCCACATAACCTGAAAATTTATGTAATAAATTCGAAAAACCAAGTTTTTGGTATTTTATTTTTATCTCTTACAAAAAACAATTTTTTGTCACGAAATTTGGTAAAAACTTTCCTTTTGATGTTACAACTCCACTGTAATTTATTTGATTTGAAATATTAATTTTTTCAGCTTATTTTAAATAAATACCTAAAAATCAGCCCCATTTTCAATCGAAAAAGCACCCGTCAAAAATATCAGCGTTTTTCAAAAATGTGTTTTCTGTTCGTTGAAATCTCTATTTTCCGATGGTGAAGAAAAAAATATAAATTTCTTACTTGCAGTACCATTTTTGAATAAAATAATCATGTCCCTTTTAATGAAATGGCACTCGATATCGTTTGGAAAATGCTCTTTCAATTTATTTTTAATAGTTTTAGCAGCTTAATGTCAATTTTCTGTAAGTTACCTAAAAGAGGGACTATCTGGAGAACTTCCAGAGTACACAACTATTCAACAAATTAAAAACATACCACATTTTTGAAAATAGCTGATAATTTGTCAGGTGATTTTTCGGTATTTATTCAAAATAAGCTGAAAAAATAAATATTTCTAATCAAATAAATTACAGTGCATTTGGAACATCAAAAGGAAAGTTTTCACCAAATTTCGTGACAAAAAATTGTTTTTTATAAGAGATAAACCAAAAACTCGGTTTTTCGAATTCATCACAAAAATTTTCAGGTTATGTGAAAAAATGTTAGAACAAAAGTTTTAGATCTTTTTATTACCTACAACTTTGCTATATAAAATTTTTCCGTAGGACTTTTAGTTTTGCTGGAAATCGAGAAAACCCATTTTTTAGCCTTAAATACCCATCCCCATACCCTTCCCGACCTCAGATCGCCCGTAAATTATTTTTCCTTTAAATTTTATAATATTCTCCTCCTTTTCTAATGAGTTTCATTCTACTATAATTTAATTATGTTTTAAAAGCTATCAGCACTGTTCTAATATAGATATAAGAAAATACACTTACAATAAATAGAAAGAATTTTATACAGAAAAATATGAACAAAATACAGCAATAAAAAAATAATGAAAAATAAAACGAAATTATAAACTGGTGAAGTGAGGAACTAAATAATGGATAAGAAAATAGATTCAATCACTATTATTGGCTGTTAACTGAAACCAATTGTATTTTAAATAGATTTAGGTTAATGTTGAAATTGTCAATACTATCAATCGCGTTGTTTTCAAGAAAAACCTTATTAATGAGTGACACATACGTCCGATATGATTATGATATGATATGTTGTTATTGTAAACATCCAAGGTAAATATTCTAGGATGGCGGTGTTTTACGAATTTTGTCTGATTTAGTTTAATCATTACGTATTGTATACAGTACCCCCCGCCCCCCTCACCTCCAGCTCCACGTCGTCCAGCCGGTGGTCGGCGTGTGGTCCGCCCCCCTCATCGTCCAGCAGGTGGTGTCCGTCCAGCGTCCCCAGCAGTATCCGCGCCGCCTCCGCCAGCCCGCCGCCGGCCTCCCGCCCGCCGGCTGATTGGAGCGCCGCGCCCAGCGAGCCGCACGCGCACAGCTGGTTCACCACTTGGTAGTACGTGAGCGTGTACAGCACGCGGACGATACACGTGAAGTGTTCTGGGGAGGAGACGTACGGTGAGAGGACGAACAGACGAGGATGACGCGACCCGTGCAGTAAACTCACGTATGTCGATGTGTGGCGGCGAGGCGGGGGCGAGCAGCAGGAAGTGCATCAGCAGGGCGGTGGGGTCCCGCAGCAGCAGCGGCACCGGGCGGGAGGCGGCGCCGTGCAGCGTGGCCGGGGAGCCGCTGCCGGCCGGCCCATCCCCGCCGGGGCAGGCCGCGGGCACCAGCGCGCGCCACGTCTCCGATACACCGAGCCGCGCGCCCGCCGCTGACAGCGCCACGGCGTGAGCGCCCGCCACCGCGATCAGAGGTACTGTAGGTAGGAGAAGAGTTAGTCTTACTGTAATTTATACAGTTGTATCACAGCGACAGGGAGTAGGACGGTCACCTATGTCACACATGTAACTACCCCGGTGCTCTCTTGCTTCCTGTTCATGCTTTGAGATAACTAAATGTACGACCGTCAAATATCTAGGAGTTATTTTGGATGAAAAACTTAGCTGGCGCCCTCATATAGACATCACAACTACGCGCACCATAAAACTTATTTGGGTTTTCAAGAAGTTGAGACACGTTGCTGATTTAGATCTTCTGCGCACAATAGATTATGCACTAGTTCAGTCAGTCATTGGATATTGTATAAAAGCTTGGGGTGGTGCTTGTAAAACCTTTATATTAGACTTAGAAAGAGCGCATAGATCTATCTTAAAAGTCATGACCTCTAGCCCATACAGGTTTTCTACAACTAAGTTGTGTGAAAAATGTCAACTCCTTACGGTTAGGCAACTATACGTCTATCAATTGGTTATTCAACAACATAGAATAACCCCCTATCATGGCGACGAATACAGTAAACAACGTGTCATTAAAAAAGTATGTTCACCTGTTATATGTCGAACAGCTTCAGCCAAATGACAACATGATTTTAAAGCAGTTTATTTGTATAACAAAATAAAAAATATACATCCCTTATGTAATCGTGAAGCTAAAGTAATTATTAAAAATTGGCTACTAGGACTAGATTGTGAGCAAACTGAACTGTTGTTGTATAATATTTTGTGAAACAAATTACACACATACACGCACAAACACACACACACACACTACTCTAATATACAGTAATAAATAATTATTAATCATTTATTTTTATTTACATAGAACGATAAGACACTAAAATATGAGAGAGGATACTGATTTCTGTAATACAGGTCTTTGAGCCTAGCTCAGAAATAAGGGACTTTATTATACTTTTTAACTTTTTTAGTGAATAAAGATTATTATTATAATATTATTATTATCACCTATACAGTCGTCGCGAGGCTTGTACCGCGGCGCGGGTTGGTGCACGAGCGAGCCTCCTCGCTGAACCAGTTCACACTCCAGGTTGGTCCTCACCAGGGACGCCACGAACGTGAAGATGGCGGCGGGGGATGATCCGTACCGCTGCTTCAGCTTGCCGCCCGCCGTCGCCGTCATGTCTTCCATGGCTTTACCCATCGCCTCCGACAGACGACTGGGACTCTAAAAGATAACGAACAAAGTTGAGAGACATCGAACAAACGATTTGTAATTTTAAAGTTGAAACAAAAACACTGTCTGTATGGAAGAAGGACTTATATTGAAAGTAAATAAAATTTGTTTGACTTAGACCCAGTTTCACCAATCAATGTTAAATAAGTAACATCGTGTTAAAGCGTTTGATGCTCTGTTAGATGTATCGAGCGTCCCACAAATGTCCGTTTAAATGTCTTAACAAGCCACTAATATTAATTCCTGCTCTGGAGCTCCGTCTAATGGCTAACAGCATGTTAATGCATTGTCAAAACTCAATTGTCCAATCACAGCCCTGATTTCTTGTAACCATAGTAATGTCATCTGTTTTGTCAGTTTTGACTTTTTCCTTGTTATTTGTAATAAAGTGAATTAAAATGTCATTTAGTATGATGATTTTGCCTCCAGCTTTTATTCTAAGAGCTAGCAACGTTTTTGAACAAGCATTTCAGGTAGGCTAGTTTTTAGATATGCTATCTCTCACACTCCCCTGGACGTCCTACGGGCTATCTGGCTGCCGGTAGTGGTTGCGTTCATCAGTGCGCATCGTACCTGTGGAGGTAAAAAATTAATATATCAAATCATTTTAAGAAGGTTTTTATTATTATTATTATTATTATTGAACTATTCACAACATAAATTTATTATTGCCAGGTATTTTTATTGTTGTTTAAACGGTGCCAAGCGGCAATTTTGAATTAAAATTTTTTTTTTTTCAAACTATTTTAGTATAGCTGAAATTTTAATAGCATGATATTTAACTATCTAAAAGCTCAGAATTAATTTGCCAGGAAAAAAATCGGTTGTTAAACTTTTGCCAGATCGAAATAAAGTGTAAAGAGATGTAGTATCATTTAGCTTGGTATAGAAAATTAATCGTCTAATAAATGATGGAAGAAGGATTAAAAACTATTGAATTTATTTATAGATGAATACGGTATAAAAATAAGACTTTATTGTTGTACAAAATTGAGATAATGATCAATGTTAAGTTTGAAAAAGATCATCATCTTCATCACTGCTGTCATTTCCATTGTCATCATCGTCCTTAAAATTATTATCATTTTGTAATAAGCTGTTATCTGTAATAGAATCAAAAATTTTAATATCTTTCGAGAAATTTTTTTTTTTTGTATTTTAGTTCAAATTTTTACCTTTAATAATAATATCAGCAACTAATGTTGGTAATTGCTCCCCAACAAACCAGATAAAATCATATTTATCATCATTAATGGTCCCGCCAGAAGCTTGAGGTGATAGAGATGTTGGGTATTTTAAATAAGCATTTCTCAAAAACGTTGTGACATAACGAACTCGTAGTAAGTGTTGATATAACTCAGCTTTACTCGGTGGTAGACTTGATGGATTAAAATTACGGAACTTTTTTTCAAAATTATACGATAGGGTTTTAGAAATCATACGTGAAGCGGTTAGTCTTTCGGTAGCCAGAGCGCTTTTTCAAACTTAACATTGATCATTATCTCAATTTTGTACAACAATAAAGTCTTATTTTTATACCGTATTCATCTATAAATAAATTCAATAGTTTTTAATCCTTCTTCCATCATTTATTAGACGATTAATTTTCTATACCAAGCTAAATGATACTACATCTCTTTACACTTTATTTCGATCTGGCAAAAGTTTAACAACCGATTTTTTTCCTGGCAAATTAATTCTGAGCTTTTAGATAGTTAAATATCATGCTATTAAAATTTCAGCTATACTAAAATAGTTTGAAAAAAAAAAATTTTTAATTCAAAATTGCCGCTTGGCACCGTTTAAACAACAATAAAAATACCTGGCAATAATAAATTTATGTTGTGAATAGTTCAATAATAATAATAATAATAATAAAAACCTTCTTAAAATGATTTGATATATTAATTTTTTACCTCCACAAGTACGATGCGCACTGATGAACGCAACCACTACCGGCAGCCAGATAGCCCGTAGGACGTCCAGGGGAGTGTGAGAGATAGCATATCTAAAAACTAGCCTACCTGAAATGCTTGTTTTTTTGACGTTGCTAGCTCTCGTACCATTTTCTATGACATTGCAAATTAAGTTTTCTTTTTATTTCTTATAATTTGAACACAATTTTGACAAGTAACACCTAATAAATTGAAAAGAAAGCTTTTTGTGTGCTAAATGTATGCGCTAAATGTATGTCGCATTAGCTTACAAGTGACGTATCGAGGGATATGATACGATTGATACGATCAAAGTATAAAGTGTTACATCGTAGCAAACGTGCCGTATTAAACGCTATAGTTTCCATTTGGTCGTCTTATCACAAGAACGAATAATTTGGTAGTCGGTAATTTGACATGAGGTTTAATAATGCGTTGTTAATTTGTCATCGTAGGACGTAAATATTTTAACAGACTATTATAATTTTGTAGGTTTGTTAGTAGATGCTTTGTTTAGATTTAACAAACATTGATTGGTAAAACTGGGTCTAAAGCCTTAGTGTGAAGGTTTTTAGGTGAACTTTGATTAAGCTTAGTATTTATAACATAATACTCATTTCAATTTAAAACAGTCTAACAGGTTGTATAATCTCACCGGTGCGGGGTGGTCTCTTTCCAGCATGTCGAGCACCTGCGCGGCCAGCTGGTTGTGTAGCGGCGCGGGCGGCGGGCTCCTGGGCGCGGCGGGCGGCGCCAGCGGCAGCACACTGTTAGCCAACTGTCGACACAGAGGACACAGGAACTCTCCGCGCTCCACGTGCAGGTTGTGAGGCCGCTGGGGGGCGGCCAGCGAGCGCAGGTACGAGCGGAGGCAGCGCAGGTGCAGGTGGTGGCCGCACGACTGCGCAGCCACGCCGCCCTCCCAGCCCACCGACACGGACAGCACCCACGAGTCCTGGTCGAAGTGCTGGTGCAGCTCGTCGTGCAGCCGGTAGTGGTGCGCGGCGGCCGTGGCGTGCTGCTGCTGGGCCAGGCGGGCGCGCTCCGCCTCATTCAGAGCCAGACGCGCGCCGCCACTGCCGCGACGACGACGATGACCCAATACTGACGTCGACTGAAACGTACCGGGGAGGTGCACATCAACAACTACTAGAAAAATATTTGTTTCGCCACCGAATGGCTTCGTTTTATATAAAATTTCGTTTTTTTTGTTTTAGATTTGAAAAGGCAAAAATTTATTTCATTTCACAACAGTTAATTGCTGTTTATTTCGATTACAAAAATGTAGTGTTATTTAGTTGAACTTCTGTAAGTAAATGAAAGTGAATCCAAAGTAGATACTGAATCGAAGCTTTATAAGTGTCCGCAAATTATCCGTTTCATTGAAGTGCTATTATAAGAGAAATGAGTATAGAAAGACAATAAGTAGATAAGGAAAATTGGTGTTGTAAGGAGTAAATAAGGAAAATGAGTATATAAAGAAAATTAGTATGTAAGGAAAATTGGTATATAAGAACAGTAGGTATATAAAGAAAATTAGTATACAGGGTGACTGGTGAATTACTATCAATATTTAAGGAGCATACTCGGTACATGATTCTCATTCGAATTATGTAAAAAAAATAGGTACTTAATTTTTGACCAAATTTCCGTATAAATAAATAAAGTGTGTACACGTTCCAAGTGTTCCAAGTGTGGACGCGTGCGGCGGCGTGCTGATACAACACACGCCGCCGCGCGCGAGTGTGTGTGTGTGTGTGTATACCTAATCTGTAGGGTGTTCATACGATGCGTAATTAATTACATAACTTTTAGTTTATTAATATTTATGTTTATTAATATTTATAGAAGTTTATTAATATTTATGTTATATTAATCTTTATTTCGTCATATATGATCGTCAAATATCACGTCCTCAAATATCAATAGTAATTCACCAGTCACCCTGTATAAGGAAAATTGGTATATAAGGATAATTAGTATATAAGGAAAATTGGTATATAAAGAAAATTGGTATACAGTGTTAACTCTATATAACGACACTGAAGGGACTGTGCATTTTATGGCGTTATAGAGAGTTGTCATTAAATAGAGAGAAGAAAAATCAGAATTAGAAAAAGACAAAGTTTTTTTCAGACTAGTGTTATTACTTATGTACATAGAATGTTATTCGAACGGTATTGCGTATAGTCTTTTATTTTTGTTTGACGTCTTTTGCTGCACAAGTAATGTTGTTGTATTTTTTTACTTATTTTATTCATATCTTGCAAAGCAAAGCTCTTACCCCCTCGCCCTATGCTTACGTAAACATTTTCAATTACTGTTTTTTTTTTTTTCATATAAGTCCAGAAAAAAATTATAATTGTATTTTTTTATGATTAACTAACACTTTCTTTTATATATATAGATGAGAAATTTGATGTCACTAGTAACAATAACGTATGATGTTCGTGTGCTAACCTGCAGCAGTACAACGAGTCCTATGGGGTCGTGCGGCGTGGTGGGCGCGGTGGTGTTACAGATGACACAGTCGTAGTCCCGCTGCACCTCCTCCTCCCACTCCATGGGCGCGCCCTCCATGCTCTCCATGGCCGACATGAACTGCTGCTGTCTCCGCGCGAACTCCCTCATGAGCTGCTGCTGTCTGTCCCTGGCCCGGCGGGAGCGCTCCTCCTTCTCCCTCCTCTCCCTGGCCCTCTGCTCCGCCTGCCTCTCCCTCTGGTGCGGCCACAGCGCGCGCCTCACCTGCTGCACGGCGGCCGCACACCTCGCGTCCAGGGCGGCCAGCTTGTGTACCAGGAGACCGATGAAGTGGGGCCCGTCACCTGGAGACGGATATGTTATACAACATTAATTATTTCTTGGTACTAAGAAGGGAGAACGAGTGTAACAGTTAAATCTCTCCAAAACATACTAAAATACTTGGGTTTGTCCAGAATTAACATCAATTCAATCTTAGAACGTACTTCGTAGTAGGTTTTTTTTTAATTTGGTTAGGTGTGGTGAGGAGCTTGTACGGTTGAGGTGAGCGTTTCACGCGTTAGATAGGGGACCTTACACCTACACATGGGTCGCAATAACCCAGTCACTGTTGAAGCACCTCTCCCTATATAGACGGACCCGGCAACCGCACGGTGAATACATTGTATACTGAAAAGTTTTAGGTACAACAGCCGATACTGCGTCGCGACACTCACCGATAGGTTCGTCGCTGGCTATAGCGGGCTCCTCCAGTGAGAATGAGTCGAGTCGCCCCGACAGCTGCGAGTGTAGCTTCAGCAGCAGGGAGATGATGGACTCGTTGACTGGGATCTGCTCGTCGGTAGGAGTGTGCAGCTGGAGCTGGGGTCAGGTTATAGTGGGTGAGTCGAGCAAACTATATATGTATAATAGGTATAAATGAAGGTCATATATGAATCTTCATTGAGTTTTAGTTCTTGAACGCAGCTTATATGTCATGAGGGTCGCTGCTGTCACTACTAGGATTCCTTTTTAAGAACACGTGGTGAAATAATTGTTTCATTTTTAAGAACAGTAATTAATTTAATTAGGAATAAGTTAATAGCTTTAATGTTGTTTCTTTCACAAGTTTGTAATATTTATAATAATTACTTTTTGGAACTAGTGTTTTGTAATTTACGATTATTATAATAAAACATTTCTTTCACAGAGAAACGCAATTGAGTTTTTATTTCTACATAACCTTTGGTAGTGTGTTAATACACATTATATAGGTAGAACTAGTCAGTGGTTGTCTAGTGGTTAAAATGCCCGCCTCTGATGCAAGAGGGCGCGGGTTCGATCCTGGCCCGGGCAAGTACCAATGTGATTTTTAGGAGTCATATGTACATTCTAAGAGTATTTAGACATCACTGATTAATGCATTCCCAAAGAGGGTTGATGTCAGGCAGGCGGCCGGTCATAAAAACGAGTAGCCAAAACTATTCACAATATACAAGGCAGACCCTGTTTATAACTGGAAAATTGCCAGGTAGAAGAAGGTATTGTACCTGTGTGTCAGTGGAGGGCGTCATGTTGACGATAGGTGAGGGCGGCGCGGGCAGGGCCGGCCTCGTGTCCTGCCATGCTGCTGCCTCCAGCTCTACACATTATATAGCACAACATGAGCTTATACTCTAACACGACGACACTTCCTTAATGATATATCTTTAATATATACATATTTCTTTGGTGGACTCATTGAAACCACTCGTTTAAAGTTTTCAGTCACTGTAACTTTACTGAAAGTAGATTACATATTTTCTATTTTACTGACTTACAAAAAAAATTACGTACACAGTGTGTAAGAAAAATTGTGCCAACCCCCTTAACTGCATTATCAGCAACGAAAATGGAACACAATCAAACAACTTACATTTACAAACTCAATAAAAATAATAAAATTAAATATTAAATGATTATTATTACAGGGTGACTGGTGAATTACTATCGATACTTGAGGACGTGATATTTGACGATCATATATGACAAAATAAAAATTAATATAACATAAATATTAATAAACTTCTAAGTAAAGTAAACCAAAAGTTATGTTATTAATTACGCATCGTGTGAACACCCTACAGATTAGGTATACTCACACACACACACACACACACACACACGTGTGAGGCGGCGTGGTGTTGTATCAGCACGTCGCCGCACGCGTCCACACTTGGAACACTTGGAACGTGTCCACACTTTATTTATTCATTCGAATTCGAATTCATTTATTCGAATGAGAATCATGTACCGAGTGTTCTCCTTAAATATTGATAGTAATTCACCAGTCACCCTGTATATGTAGAGTAGCCAAATATTTGTACCCACTGGTATAACACGATGACACTCAATGGCGTCAACACACCTGCTGCGCTACTAGTGACGAACTCGAAGTTACTTTCACATTATTGAAAAAATCGATATTTAAAAAGTCATAACAATAAATAAATATTTAATATTCATCAGTGGCGGCTGGTGGGTTATCGAACTGGTGGTTCACTTTACTAAAATATTGACAAAAACAACAATTGACATAAAATATGTTTATTTTTTGTACATTAAATCAATGCGACGACATTTTTCTGTAGCGAAATGTTCTATCACCTTTTTATTAAAATTTGGTATTTTTTCTATAAATTTCTTTGCAATACTAAGCACAGAAAGTGCATTTAGCCGATCCTGAGACATGGTATTTCTGAGAAAAGTTTTGATTCTTTTCAGTGTCGAAAAACATCGCTCGCTCTGTACTGAAGTCATTGGTATAGTATAGATGCTCCTTCATAACTATATCCAACTCTGATACAAAGTCTATTAATCCACGAAACACTCCAGCATTACTGGACTCAATAGTTTCATCGTGACCTCGCAAAGCTAACTCAAATGCACCACAAAACTTGACACAATCGATAAGACGTGATAAAATGTATCTGTTTTTATCAACTTGTTTATTATACTTTTGGATATTACTTCTATACACAGAATCTAGCTGATTACGAATATCGACTGGGCCTAACACAGACAAACTCATTACATTTTGTAGGTGTACTTGTGAAGAATCATGTTTTTTTATTTTTTCACTTAAATGCGTCAAATCCTTGATTCCAGTTTCTGTCCAAATCGATTCTCCGCCAAAAATAATGCAAGGAAAACAAAAGAATGCATTAAGACGCTCACATCCACACAACCATTTCTTTCTATTATACATTTCACTTTTAAAACTTCGTATAAATGCTTTATTTTTCGATTTACACTCTTGTTTTAAATTTAAAAAGGGCCGTGGCGGCCCGGCCAATTTTATGTTCACTTTACTTTGAAAAATTTTGTTATTTTCTTTAATATAATCAATATTTATACTCATTTTCAACTAATAAAAAACACAGTACAGAATAAAAGTTCTATTATAGAAACGAAATAAAAACTAAAACGAATTACGGAAATAATTATAAACAATAACGAATTAACGCGTCACGCATACAGTGAAAGTTGAAACAATACCAATAACGATTAACGAAATGTCAATCATAGCACCCATCCTTTCGGCCGGCCCCTTGCCGGCCGGCTCAATACGTCATACATCGGGTGCTCTCGGTAACCTTCGGCCGCTTCGTGCGGCGCGCGAGAACCGACTCATTACTCGGTACATTTCTATGAACTATCTTTTGTCTCACGCGCCAGGCGTATTAATGCGTGTCTCATACAAGATGTATTAGCAGTCCTCGTGCACTCGCCGGAGCGCACGATATGAGTTTAATAAAGCGGTCAAACTTTTTGACCATAATTGGAAATTAAATTTATTATACCTTTTTGTATGTTTAAAAAATAAATATTAAAATGGTAATTTAAAAATTAAGATGACATAATATTTTGTAATTTTTAAATATTTTGAATTGGTGGTTCAGCGCACGGGCGCACTTAAGGTACAGCCGCCACTGATATTCATATTATTTCGATACTGATTTTGATATATCAAACATTAATATTATTTTTGATTGTAAAACACCATTTTTAACAGACATAGATTAACGATTTATTCTAATAATACAACATAGTTAATTTACCTGAAGAAGTTCCAAATTATAATATTGATTAATAATATTTATTATTAATATAAGTTATTTTAAATGAAATTATTTTAATGTGAAAAGCATAACTATTTATAGCAAAATATCGATAGAATATTTATCGATATACCTAATTTTTAAACCTGCAAATCTCTATTCGAAAAAGTAACATAATAATAATAATAACCCCGGCGCCTGCTATGAATGGCCGCGCGTGGGCCGTCGCGACTATACGGCGCCTTAACCGTTTATGGGTCAGATGTTTGAAACATTTTTTCAAATAATGTCGGTTTAAAACTTATTTAGCCTATGCACTGTAACTGACCTCTGCTTGATATTTTTTATAATATGCTTATACTTATATGTATACATGCCTTCAAGGGTTGACACAGTTTTTAGAACACCCTGTATATCGTTCATTCAGATCTAATCTTATCAAACATGTATCATGTAACAGTAGTACACCCAGCAGGTGTTTGTACTGACCGTACTGCACTGCGTGTACGTCATGCTCGATGTCCTCGTGTGCGTGTGTGGTGAGGGCCAGCGCGTCCCTCATGGAAACGTCGTGCAGCGGGGGCAGGGAGGGGAGAGAGGGCAGCGCCAGAGCCGTACTGCCGCCCGCCGGCTGGGGGTACAGCGGCTGATACGACACACGGAATATTACTTACGATACTAGAGTCAATAAAACATTCAATAAAACGAAATTTAAATACTAAAACAGCCACAATCTTCGTTAAAACTGACTACCAGTGAGTTTCATTTCTATCCTAATTTAAAGTAAAGTCATTCACGAAAAAATGTATCGACGACAACTAGGTGTTGATCGTAGAGGGATTCTTGGATAGTCAACATATTTTTCTTTTCAAGGGATATATGATAGTACAAAAAATGGACTAAATGTATTGATTTCCTAGGAGACTATGTCTGGAGGTAAATTTATTAATTTCATTATAACAAATTCCTATTATATATTGTTTATCGTCCCTCTAGGATGTCTCCTCGCATACATGTAGTATATTACACACACTCTCTATCACCCTCACTGTAACCGTTATGCCCCCGTGTATGTCTGTCCCTCACATACCTCCAGCGCCCGTATCTCGGGCGTGTCTCCTCCAGCGTCAGAGGACTGGTCGTCAGACACGGACCGGCCTCGCACCATCTGATAGAAAACATTACATTAACATACTGATGACTGATACTTATGACTGATATGGGGGGCATTTCACGTGAAGCGGACAGGAAAAAAGAATGAGGTTTGGAAAATCTTTCATATTCGGGTCATTTATACTTCTAGTGGGTATGTAAACACAAAATATTTTTTTTTTGTATAATGTATATTTCGAAAGTTATGGGTTTCTAAGGAATTGTCGTAATTAAAATATAAATTTTTATGAAGGTATTTTTTCGAATTAAATAAATTTACAATAAAGTTTATATCACAGCGATACGTATTGGAAAAGACTGTTCTTTTTAACAATAAAAAAATAAAAAAGTAGGTTTTGTTTTCATGTCCAAAACCGGAAGTAAACTTTTCAAACCTGAATTTCATTCACTTCGACCATTTTTTTTCATTTTTTTTATTCAAAATAGAGCTTAACTTATATAAAAAGTAACATAAAAAATTTAACATGGGATTTATATTACTTTAGGAGTTATATTGATATATGTACACACGCGTAGCAATGGGCGTGATGTCTGACGCGTGCATAGTTTGCGCGATATTGCATTAAAACTCGCAACTTTATTAATATTTTATCTCGTTTCCAGTGTATTTAGGCTCTGACAAGGATATTGAATAAGTATTATTAATATGATATACTAGCTTTCATCTTTCCGGGTATGTCCAATCTTTATAAATTATAGCCTATGGTTTATTCTGATGTCTTCATTTTCATCAAAATTCATTCAGCAGTTTTTGCGTGAAAACAACATACATTATTCCAAACTTACGCATTTAAATGGTCGAGGTCGAAAATGGTCGAAGTAAATGAAATTCAGGTTTGAAAAGATAACTTCCGGTTTTAAACATGAACACAAAACCTACTTTTTTTTTATTGTTAAAAAAAAACAGTCTTTTCCGATACGTATCGCTGTGATATAAACTTTATTGTAAATTTATTTAATTCGAAGAAAAAACTTCATAAAAATTAATATTACAATTACGACTATTCCTTAGAAACCCCTAACTTTCGAAATATACATTATACAAAAAAATATATTCATACCCACTAGAAGTATAGATGACCCGAATATGAACGATTTTCCAAACCTCACTTTTTTTTCCTGTCCGCTTCACGTGAAATGCCCTATGACTGAATTTATTTTTTGTTTAATTTCAGATATACTATTTGAGTAGTTATAGTATCAGTATGTGACCTGTGTGGACTGTGGCACGGCGAGCGCGGTGCCGGCCCCGGCCTGCAGCGAGGCCGTCTTGTGTGATCCCGGGCCCGCCTCGCCTGACCCTGACCCGCCCTCCCACTCCGTCTCACCTGTGAATGAGAACACTGTCTATATAAAATACTCTTCAATTAAATATAATTTTATAATTAAATAGTAGCGTTCCGTACTGTCTGAGTGGTGGTTGTGTTGTGGCGCGGTGTGCCTGTGTAGTGTGGTGGTGGGGGGCGCGGCGGCCGGCGTGGGTGGCACACGGACCACTACGGTCCTTGCGTTGTCACACACTGAGCCCCCGGTGAAGGCTCGTAGTAGAGGCACGCCCGACACGCGTCCTCCTGCGCCCCGCCCGCACGCCGCCACACACACATCACGCTGGAAACATAATACGACATCATTTATTATATATAGCCTTACTATGAGTCGTTTCATGACACCAAACTTCCGAGTTTCCAGACATTAATTCCTAATCTTTCGCAAAACAATAGTATAGCATTAGGTTTATGAATGAAAAACTGGAAACGCTCCATATTTATACTCCAGCCAAATTCGATGTGGAATGTTTAATAACAAAGCGTTGCTTAGCAACCAACGTCAGGCAGATGCACAAAACATTTTTAGAAATATGTACCTACAACAACTATTATTTTTGATGTTAATGAAAATTAAAATTGATGATTAATAATAAAATATTTCAGACAAAGGACTTATTCTTGGTTATAATTATAATACTTATGATCATCTGGAATAATGTAAATCTCAAAAATAATACCTCCAATTTTAAAATGATATCAGAAATTACCTCGTAGTTATAAAATTCGCTTTATTAACTTTATCCATCGCCTCCCAAACGACAGGACTCATTGAAATTAAATTTTGTGTATATTTAAATTTCGCTACAGATACAATCCCACTCGGACCAGGTTATTCAGTATTTCTCATCGTAATTTAATATAAACAATATTTGATAACAACAAACTTATAACAATAACGAATTAAAACTAATTAACGATAACAAAATCTAACAATTAATAACAGAACGTAAGAACACCAGAATCAAACACTCGCGAATTGTAAGCAAAGCTAACAACAAAACAAAACAAACATTATGGCGGGCGTATAATGCAACAAAATTACGTAGTTACGTTTCGTTTAACTTTATTTGCGTTAAAAAAATATTTTTTTAAATTAATTAAAATTTAACCGCAATAAAATTTATTAAATTTTATCTGATAAATATATATTGGAAGAAATTGTAAATATATGCGGTGGAAACAGTGATTATAGTGCTATATTTATGCTAGACAAAACAAGATGTCTTTTTTTTAAATCTGTGTGTAATGAAACGTTGCGTGTATGTTAACATTATTAACCTATTGTGGTTATACTACCATTATAATAAGACCAAAAATATACACCACCAATTGGGTTTTTGAATTATTTTTTTTTTTGTGATAAATGGAAAGATCATATATAAGTTTAATAACAAAACTATTTTTATTTTATTTTTTTTGCAATATTTAAAAAGTTATTTCAAAATAAAAATTAAATTTTAAATTCAGTACCGAAGACAAGCCGACAGCTCGTGAATAAACCCGAGCGCGTGTGACGTCACAATGTTAGTTTTTGCTCATTGTAGCATACAGAGATATAATAATTAGTACAGTGTTTTGAGTTTTTATCTAGTAAATTCTGTTGGCATTGTTAAATAATCAAAAGTTTTGTACCATTATGTACAAAGACTACAAAAACAACTCCTGAAAAAATGTTTTTAAATGTTCCACAAGACGAAAAACGTCGAAAGAAATGGTTTCAAGCAGTGCATCGAGATTATTCAAAAACAAAATCATTTTTTTTTGTTGTGAAGATCATTTCGTTGTAAGTTTTCATAATAGTATTGTTATTAATTATTATTTATCTAAGTGTATAAATCGAATAAGTATAGTTCAATAATTAATTTTTTTACCTGGGCTCCAAATCATAACCTTTAGAATCGTAGCATTAAAAAATTTTAATTGATAATTCAAAGCGATTAAATAGTAAATCTATATATATGTTTGTCTAATAATTGGACTTCAATTAATAGATATTTTCATAATTTTATAACATTCTAGGTTCTGTATCAGACTACATTTAAATTTTTAAAGTACATATATGTTATTTTGGTTTTTTTTATAATGTTATAATAACATTTTATTAATAATGATTTAATGAAATAATTATTAATTATATTTAATAGAGAATAAATACTAATTTTCATTTAGAATAGTATTTTTTGACAGACTTACCTTGATGTCTTAGCACCTCGAACTTCAGCAAAATTAAACCGCACTTTTTAAAAAATTAGTTATCATAAAAATATATTAACATCAGGAATATTATCCGATTTTGCTTTTATAAATCCTTTATCACACATAGTCGAAATAAACTTTTCAAATCGTTTTTCACTAATAAATTTGAGATATTTTTATCAAGTTAAAGATAATAGCCATAAACACTGTACTATTATGAAATTGCTTTAACATTATGACGTCACAAGTATGCTGACCAATCATGGCGCGTTTACAGTCACGTGATATATTTTTGAATTTTATCAATTTTTAATTGTTTATAATTAATTTAAAAAAAATATTTCAAGTTTTTTGCATTAAAAATCCAATATAATTAATAATAAAGTTTTAAAATACATAAAAAAAATCAATACTTTTTTTTTTTTCAAAAACCCAATTACGAACAACTATTATATACCTTCCTTAATCTGCCAATTGCTTAAAAAACACTCCAAATGTTACGAACCTGCGATTTCTTTACGTCAGTTTTAAAATATAGGGTTGTTAGTCTTGTAGTAATATTATAGTGGTAATTAAAGATTTTTAAACTATTATTTTAAGCTAATTTTCATATAAATTATGTATTGACGGGCTAAATATTTTTTTTGGATTCTATATTAAATTATTTTTTTTGTATTTAAACAGGATATTGTGTTATAATGAATATAGTTGTAATTATAATAATTATTATTTTTTAATTACGAGTGTATCAACCCTAATTATGATGACTCATGGTTTGTTTACTAAGATTCCAGATCGAATGTGGCTGGAGTATAGTTTAGTAATGTTTGTGTGTATATATATACGTCGTGTGTCTTCTGCCTCTCGGCGGCCAGGTCGGCGGCCACAGCCAGCAGGTACACGGCCAGCGCCAGCACGTGGTCGGGCGGCGCGGGGGGTGCGGGGGGCCCGGCGCCACCCTCCGCCTCTGACGCACCCTCCGCCGCGCGACGACGGACCCCGCGGTGCAGCACCGCCAGCAGGGCTCCGTGTAACACACCTTTTATATACAACACAAGTTACAATTGGAATAATATTGAAGCATCGAGCAATACAACTATGCAGAATAGGTCTTTCCTTGTTTCAGTTTAAGTATAAGTTATGATATGTTTGAGTACGTCACAGAGTCGGTATATAGTATAGTGCGTTTGTTTTAAGCTGAGCTTTGCATTTGTGTGAGTGCACACGGATAGTGTACGTGTGATGTCAAATTTTTGAATGCCACGTTCTATTCTAGTTTTGAACCGGTTTATACTGCTTTTACTCCGCCGCGCACTTTACTCACTTCACCTTATGTACTGGTAGCAAAATCAAATATTGAAAACGCAATGTCAAGTGAAGAAAAATTTGTAGATTTTAATTTTTTTATTAATTATGATTTTTTTTCATAATATTTATAATATTTCCTTATCTGGCCTTTTACAAGTTTTGCTTATTTTATAGCACTTATAGGCCAGTGCAGATGCCTTTAAAAACAATGAAAAGTGAAAATAAATTATAGTAGAAAGAAACTCATAAGAAAAGGAGAGGAATATTATAAAAATTAAAGGAAATATAATTTACGGGCGATCTGAGGTCGGGAAGGGTATGGGGGTGGGTATTTAAGGGTAAAAAACGGGTTTTCTCGATTTCCGGCAAAATTAAAAGTCCCACAGAAAAATGTTATATGGCAAAGTTGTAGGTAATAAAAAGACCTAAAACTTTTAAACTAACATTTTTTTCACATAACCTCAAAATTTATGTGAAAAATGCAAAAAACTTAGTTTTTTGTTTTTATTTTTATCTCTTCCAAAAAAAGATTTTTTGTCACGAAATTTGGTGAAAACATTCCTTTTGATGTTCCAAATCTACTGTAATTTATTTGATTAGAAATATTTAATTTTTCAGCTTTAATTAATAATTTTCTTACTTTAATTAATACATTTCTTGCTTACAGTACCATTTTTGGATAAAATAACTATGTCTATTTTAATGAAATGACACTCGACATCGTTTTGAAAATGCCCTTTCATTTCATTAAAAGGGACATGATTATTTTATCCAAAAATGGTACTGTAAGTAAGAAACTTATATTTTTTTCTTCACCATCGGAAAATAGAGATTTCAACAAACAGAAAACACGCCAAATTTTTAAAAAAGCTGATATTTTGACGGGTGATTTTTCGATTGAAAATGAGGCTGATTTTTCGGTATTAATTCAAAATAAGCTTATTATTATATATATTATAATTATTTTTCCTTTAATTTTTATAATATTGCCGTCCTTTTCTAATGAGTTTCATTCTACTATAATTTAATTGTTTTAAAAGCTATCGGCACTGGTCTATTATGTTATGTATCTATTTAAAATATAATAAAATTGAATTCCGTAAGTTTTTTGTCTAACCCTACTTTTACTTTCACTCACACAAAGGCAAAGCTCAGCTTAAGTCTAACGGATTATACAGTAAGTTAAGACGTTTTGATAAAAGTTTGTAGCCAACAACTGGATCTACGTTTTTGATTTTATTAAAACTGATATCAATTTAATGTTTTATTCGTGTAAGTCATCACAACCGTCCTCATAGTATCATATCATCTCCGCGCCACACTAACCGGAGGCGCACAGTTCCCTGGGGTCCCCGGCGGCCTCTGGCGGGGGCAGCGCGGGTCTCAGCGGCGGCCACAGCGTGCCCGTGCAGGTGCCGGGGCTCCCTTCAGACTTCTGCTTCTCCCTGACGCTGAAACACAACATTTGACAATCAGTCATCTGTTGACGGTTACCCGGGTTGTCGAGATAGTATCTGTGTGTACTCACAAGGCCGTGAACCTGTCCATTGACGCGTGAAAGTCCCTTCTATGTACAGCCCTCCTAAGAACGTGTAGAGGATCGTAGTAGCGCGTCCACACCACGGCCCGCGGCACGAACAAACCCTGCTCCAGACTCTCCGAACACTTGGGGGGCGCGCGGTACACGGACAGCTGTGAGCAGAGAGGAGATGGATTAATGAATAAAATTCAAATAGAAACTAATAGATTATCTTCAAAACAAATATATACAGTAACCATAAACCAACGCCATATATCGATAGTCACACCAAGTTTACTTAATATAACATGTTGTTATATAATACTAGTAAACCCGGCTAACTCCGTTTCGCCACCAGAAGGCTTTGTTTTAAGTTACATTTCGTTTGGTGATTAAAAGATGAAGAATTTTTTGGTCTTACGTTAACACAAATAAAGCGGATGGTTTCCCAACTCGTGAACACGCAAAGTATAACTGCCCATGTGAAAAACAATGATTTTCTAAATTTATCCCGCAAATACTAAATGGTTTTAAGGGTTTAAACTACAAACACAATACCGGTTTGTCACATGAAATTAACTGAGCAGAGAACAATGAGTAGCTGTCAAACAATGTGTCATACAGTGGCACCATCTACTTAAAATATTGATTTATAGTACATGTCATGTATCAAAGTTGGCGCTGTATGTGAAAAAAGATTTCCCGCTTTTCTGTTGAAATTTTTCCTGATTTTTTTTTGTTATAAACTTCACGGAGCCCGAGACCTTTCCAACGAATGCAAAACCGTGGAAATCGGTTCGTTCGTTCTGAAGTTATAGCGTCAGGATGGAAAACCGGACTTATTTTTATATAATAGATATGTTCCCGTCCCACCTCCTTGAGTACGGTCTCGAAGTTCCTAGTGTGAGCGTTCCCGGACCTCTCGGGCATCAGCTCCAGTAGCTGTGAGTGTGTCTTGTCTCCCGCGGCCAGGAGCGTCGCCACCTCCAGCCGGGACTGGGTCAACTCGTCATTACCTGCACATTATATAGAGACACTATTATATATTAGAATATTATAACATGCTCAATAACTTAAAGGAATAAAAGTCAAGAAATCTCTTGTTTAGCGACATCTGCGGTATAATTTTCAAAGATATGTTAAATGTGGGCTAAACTAATAGTTTACAACTTTTGATGTATTCCCGTAGAAAGTTTACAGAATGAGGAGATAAGCTATAAGTTTATATTATATTACTGTGACGGATAAGCTACATTGTAGAATAGTTTCAAGGAACTAACATTCCAAAAGAAAAGTGAGAGTAGTCAATGGACGACTCTTCGTGATTCAGGAACTAAATTCCCAGACATGACTCAAATAACGAAACAGCTAAATGTCTATGAGAGATTGCTGTTCAAAGCAGGAATCAAACGAAAAAAAAACCTCCCTACCTCTCCACAAACATTCAAAGGTAGAACAGAATTAGGTCACTTAATATGTATATATACGTTTGTATGGTCGTACCGAGGTTGGTCCTTGAAGACACCAGTATCGCCAGGAAGGTGAGCAGTCCCTCCACCATAGCATCCTGCTCGGACGCCTGGCTCGCTGACATCGGCGTCATGCTCAACCACTCACGGACACCGAAACTAGAAAACATTCATCATAGAACATTATTTGTTATGAAAAATATGTATATTGGTCCCAACTTAAGTGTTTTTTCGTTGTTACTCACACATCGATACACATATCAAGGAACTGGTCAGCGGGCAGGTGTGCGGCGCAGATCTGCAGCCAGTAGATGTCCATGTCGACCATGGAGTTACAGAAGTTGGCCTGGATGTACGTCATCGCCTGGCCCTTGATCTGCAGGCCGTTCCTCACCCACACGCCCGCCAGGATCTCGTAGAACAGGCTCTGAGGAGCAACGATATGCATCGTGACACAACTTATAAGACAAATATACGAGCTTACAGAATAGAGACCAGTGCAGTTTTATGTTTAGTGTGAATATTTACTAATAATGCTGTACATCTTAAAAGTAGTATATTAAAAAAAATCAAAGAGTTCAGTGAAAATTTAGGATTTAGATTTGACTCAAATTTTGTTTTAAAAAATCTTTATTTTTTGGTATTGCCATATTTTTATGTTATTAATAATTTCTATAAGTTTTGTACTATACTGATAATTTATTAATATAAAAATGTTAGCATCTCTGCGATTCCCTAAAATTGAAGAGTAGTTGGTGTTAAGTTTGGGTTATTACAAAATATATTCGTACACGCTAGATTAAACTTTATAATCCTATATTATGATTATCTCCCTATACCGACGAAATGTATTAATAATCTGTTCGTGCATAAGTTTCTATATAAATCATAGATATTGATTCGAATACATTTAAGATTAATGTTTAATTTGCATAATAACGAGCAATATAGTCTTTGACTTTTTTGGTACTGTTCATTCTTAGTTCGCAAGACTGTATTATTGTAAATAACTTAATTAAAGAAATAATATAATATTTTTTTCGTTTATATTTACCGGTATTTTATTAACTTTTTGTTTACTTATTATAATTATGATTTTCTTATTGTTCCTTTTTTTAGCATATGTTTTTGCAATCTTTTTTTATATATTTTTAACTATCGCAGTCACATTCAATACATTAATTTTTTTAATAATTATATATCATTAGTATATATTTACTCGCTGCAAACTAAGGGTTTATTGTTGGTATAGCAATTAATCGTTAATTAATATGGCTTCTCGTTAACAAATATATGAGAAGTTATTACAAATTAAAAAACACATTACACTAATGGAAAAAGGATCAACGTTTAAAAACTAATTTCCAAATGGTTGTCAATTTGATAATAATGATCTTATTGGAGAAAAAACAAAATTAAAGATTAAGATATTAATTTTTGATTTGCAAAAATATATTTTTTAAACATCACTTAAATCTGAAAGAAGACGAAAACTCTTAGCATTCAATGTATTCACGGTGCGTGTGTCGGGTCCATCGTTGCAGGGAGAGGAGTTTCAACAGTGACTGGGACTTGCGACCCAGATTTTTAACTTTTAATTTATTCCTTTTATTTATAATCTATTTCGAAAATTCTTTTTTCCAGTTCCTATTTATAACTGGATGTATATTACAGATACACCATACGAATGATGACTTATTTGGTAATAACTATAAAACTTCACACGCTTTCACGACAAAAGATTAAAAAATAAAACTTTCTTTGTCTTTCTTGTTATTACCTATCTCAGAGTGAACATTCGTGTCTTTAGAATACATACACGAAAACAATATTTTAAGTGTTTCTATAAATTATTTCTTTAAAATTTTTTATATAAAGAACTCTATTTTTTATATAAAATATAATACATTAAAATCTAATAAAAGTATTTTTTATTCCATGGTTTTTATTGTCATTTTAATTGATCATTTTGACAATTTCAAATTATATTAAAAAAAAACACTGCCACAACTTTGACTTTCCCAATTTTTTCGATGTTTTGTCCGTCTTACTTAAATATTATCAAAAATAATTTATCAATAAAATTAGGTACTGTTGAAGTATAATATGTAGTAAAAAAATATATGAAAATAAATAGCATACTATTTAAACATACTCAAAACTTTGATTCGAACTTATTCGACGTAATACGTAACTGTTTACCAATCGCAATTCTAATAAAAAAGTGTAGAAAAATCACATGCTGTAACTACAATTATTGTCTAAGAGTTTCAAAGGCATAATGACTTTAGTGTTGTTCTTATCAAAATATTAGGAGATATTTCATTTCTATTTAAATAAACGGATAAAGTAATATATGTATTATTCATGTAAAAATAAAATGTATTAATAAGTAAAATTTATTACGCATTTGAGTGAAAGTTAAATGAAGGTTGAAGCGATGTTTGTTGTAACGAAACGAAGACACACAGTGGGAGAACAGACGTCTTCAAAATACATCCGGGTAAAACATATTATCTGTATATGTATATCTATCTGATATATTTATTTTTAAACATATAGCAATCAACATTACTATGTTGAAAAGCGGGAAACCCCCAATCAGTTAGTGACTAGTGTTTACATTTTTAAAAATAATTTAAACATTCTCAAATGATATTATTATATTAAAAAAAGATCATTACTTATTGTTGTTGAACAATAATGTTTATTTCAACTGTAACGTACTCGAACGCAGATCGTAAAGCCTCTTTGTATATTTTAATATCAGTCAGTGTTGCCGTCTGTATGTAAATTACCCTACAATATAAAATCTATATCGGGGACATCGGCGGCTGTCAGTAAACAAAGAGAGGGGACTGTAGAAAGAGCTTAGCGTGTGTTAAGTAGACGGAATTGAATTATCAACTACAGATGTAATATCGTCTTTATGTTCATATAATTAAAGCTCATTTCTGTTCTACTATCAGTGTCGACATCGCCACAAAAAGTTGACGCGTGAACGGGTTCTGCGAGTTATGAGTCACGGTTACGGAATCATCCTACGTCGGTCGAGTTTATTGAACAGATATAATGTTTGTTTCATATTATAAGTGACGTTTGTAGTATTGGTCAGTGGTAACAGTAATTAGGAGGCTGTCCACCCCGCGGCCCGCCGGTCCACCAGCCGGCTAGTACGCACAGTGTAGTGTGGTGGCCGCCTACACACCGTCAGTCTGACCGTCGCCATGGCGGCGAGTGTACGTGTGTTGTTGCAGGTGGTGGTGGTGGTGTTCGGTGTGACGCACGCCTTCGTAGACGAGGCGGTGGACGTGCTGAAGCTGGGCGTGGAGATCGGGGAGGAGGTGCTACAGTCATGGGACGTGATCGGGAAACAGTTCAACTCCACCGGGGGAGTGGAACTACCGATCATTAAGAGGAGGGAGAGGATGGTGCTGGCGAAACTGGCGGACATCTCTAAGGCGATACAGAGGCTGGAAATACAAGTGGAGAGGAATGGGGTCGTCGCTATGTTACTAGCAAGGGCCTCCAACAGGGGCGCCCGGCTGGAGCTAAGGCTACACGAACTGGGGGACCTGCTGAGTAGAGTGACGTCAGCTGACAGGCAGATGAGGGAGTACGTGCGGCTACAGAGGGAGTTGGAGAGGATCACGCTGGAGGACTTCGCCGAGTGGTGCGTGTCACACGACCCGGGGGCGCTGCCCGGCCTGCTCGAGAGGGTTCACTCACTGATAGCGCCTCCATACAGACATCTACTGGGAGGGGGCGGGATACTGCACATGATCCTCAGCGATTTACAGGTTCGGTACACATTAGTTACATAGGATTCGTAAATAACGTTGAAATACATCGCGTTCTTTTACGAACAATGCAACAAAGTAAGATAACATCCTGCCAGCGTGTGTCTCATGATAACAAGTTTACTTTTTATATGTGATGTTATCGTAACAGGACATGCGTTCGGTCCGTCCGCGTCAGGTCGATAACAGCTCAGTAGACGACTGCTACTACTGTTTGTTATAATGTGAAATCTATAAATGAAACGCTAAACTTTCCGTATGTAGTGTGTCGAAGAAATCATGGTAAGCGTACTTATGACTCAACTCCTATCATCATAGTAACAGTTATATCAATAGTGACCACTGTATTGTCATTTCATATGTTGCTGATGTCTTTTACCAAGTTTAATTGCTACTGAACGTGATAAAACTGAATGTTTTAAGTTAGGTATGTAAAGTATCTTTGTTTAGTTATTGTTAGTCAACTGTAACCTTGATTGCAACCGGTATCATTGAGTCTAGTGAGCTATACAATAAATAATTTTGGGTAAATAACTATACACAAAGAGTGATACATGACATGATAAATGTACTAAAAATATGACAAATTAAAATATTAAAAGTATTCGTAATGTATGAACATCATACAAATAAATTGGATATCAACTTGTTAAAGTATATCTTTGGTAAAATAGATATAATATTTATAAGAGATTAGACTTAGAATTCACTAATTGAATAGGTCACCAATCTAGTGTCACGTGACGTCATACATGATACACCAGTGAGCTACAAAAACATGTACATAAAACACAGTCAATATTTCATTCTTTAACGAGCTACATTATTGTAAGTTTCATTATAATCAACTAGCTTTCCGCCCGCAGCTTCGCCGCGTGGAGTTCGGTTATATCGCGTTTCCAAGAGAACCTTTCAAAAGTCTGGGATAAAAACTATCCTATGTTCTTTCTCAAGGTCAACTCTATCTCTGTACCGAATTTCATTAAAATCAGTTCAGTGGTTTAGGCGTGAAAGCGTAGCAGACAGACAGACAGACAGACAGACAGACAGAGTTACTTTCGCATTTATAATATTAGTAGGGATACGGTAGTTTTAGCGTTAAGTCGTAACAAACATTCACACAATCACACAATCGCCAGTCGTCATCTCGAATATCAGTTCAACAAAGACACTAACGGTTAATGACACACCAAGTTCACACACAGCGCTCGCTACAGATAAATTGTGTACTTCCTTATTAAATATAACACATTATTATAATTATATTATGTATTTAATATTATTATATATAAATTATGTGAGTCACATATGGGTGGGGACAATTTAATTCTCTATTACAAAACCGTCCTTCCATTATGTATAATAAAACTATTTTATTCGCTTTAGGTTATCAAAGAGTAATAAAATTGACGGTATTTTCCGTATAAGGTCATTGACCTTATACAGTGATTAGTGAATTTTAATTTCATACAATATTATATCAAATTTACAAATAGTTAATACGCCTGTAGGTTTAACAGATGCAATGTGATAAAATGACGTCATAACATTGAATAAAACAGATCGATGTTTAAGTTAATTTCACTTAGTTCATTAAATTCGACCTTGTTATATATGTATTTCACTTTTTTTTTGCGTTATAAAGAATTCTAACCGTGTTTCTATAAAATATGTAAGTTTTTAAATCAACGCCAGATTCAAACATTCAAAATAGATCGACTTAATTATATTTGTTATATATTTGTCTTGTCTTAATTCCTTATATTATGTATGATTACTCCAAGTTTCCACCGTCACACTACACACGAAGTCGTCGTGTCGTCGTCGTACGTCTCTCGTTTCTCATACAATAAACAATGTCAATACTATGTTCGAAGAAGTATGAATGAAAATCTATTAACGCTCCGTATGTAGTGTGACGTCACAGAATTAGGGTAAATGAGTGGGGTGATAGATGCTGACAGCAATATTAAACTTATTTCTTATGTTTCTTAGTACTATATATACATAAGGATGTAGATATGTATATACATATAATATGTATATGTATGCGCGCTGATTATATTAAGAGGTCATCTTATACATAGGTTCTGCGACCTGACCTGCTCCCCGCACTAGATCTAATCTGTGTTCGACAAACTTGGCCTAGTTATAGTGATACGTTACACTGGATAGAACTCTGGATAATTCATGCAATAACATACGTGTTATTAATTAATATGAATACTATATTTTACATTTATTAATTGAATTAAATCCTACAATAAAAATAACGAGGATTTGTACACAATTGAACTGTAACGTTAATAAAATTAATATGAATACTATATTTTACATTTATTAATTAAATCCTACAATAAAAATTACGAGGATTTGTACACAATTCAACTGTGACGTTAATAAAATTGATACAAATATGAAATATATCATTATTATGATGCTCTTCTATTCGAGCCACGTCTTGTATCATAACAACAGCCCCGTCTTTAAGCCCCAGAGCACGTGTTGTGTGTGAGCCCCCCCCCCCCCCTCTCAAACAGTTAGCCCCTCACACAACATTCTAAAGGGGGCCACTTTCTACTCGTATTTGTCGGTCCTTCCTTATGAAGGCCATTAAAAACTAAAGATAATACTCATCAATAATTTATTTCTACGTGTTATATTACAGTTTAAGATTCTCGGAAGAACGACATATAATACCATAAATACTGAGAATGACAATTATATAAGTAAATAAAGATGGTACAAGTATTTATATCCGGTGTTGCTGCGAGTTATGATGTACGTTTGTCTCTTTCTACATAATTTGTGCGCATTTTAAAAGGAGAAGTGAATGTTTGTCCTCCCCGCCCCCGCGCCGCACCGCGCCCCGCCAGGCCATCGTTTCCCATTCAGTGGTGCATTACTTTAAAACATTATAAATTGACTTCCACCCTCCACCAATGTTATAAACATAGTAGAGGCCCCCGTCAGCTGAGACCGGGACGTTATAATAGGAGCACAAACAATGAACACATCGCATGATGGTACGAATGACAGTCTTATTACAGGGCCGTATGATACTCTTATATTGCAACACGACACTGCACTCCACTATATTAACCTGCGGACGGATAGGGTCGGCGATCGAAAGATTTGTCGATATCGATATTTTCACTTAAAGAATGTTATGTTCTGTAATCACTTTATAGTTTTTAACTTTATATTACTTATAACAAAACAACATTTTGTATATAACCGCGAGGTCACAAGGCGTTCATGTTATTCGATGGTTCCACAATCTGCGGCTCATGAATATCGTCATAATATCTTAATCATCGACATCTGTCTCTCGTCATCACTAGTGTAGCGAGTGTCGTGTGTCCCCTCCACGGCCCCTCGCCCGCCGCCCGCCGGCCGCGGGTCGGTTGTCAGTAGTTCAGTAGTCAGTGCACGTCGAGCCGCGCAGTGAATAACGTTATCTTTGTGGAAAGTATGAGACTCGCAGCGCTTCTAGCGCTGGCGACGGCGGTGAGCGCGACCGAGCTCACCGCTGTGGACTATATGAGGAGCAAGTTCTACAGGCTTGAAGAGGAGCTGTGGAAGAATGTGACTGACCCCGAGTGGAGGGTGGGGGGTGCGGGGGGAGACGTCGAGCTGACCAAGGCCTTCGCCGCCTTCGACGTAAAACTGCAAGCGATCGGCCGAGCCCGCCGGCCGCCGCTTGAGTCATGGCTGTGGGTGAAGGCGGTGGAGAGGTTCCAGATCATAGATGGCTACTACAAGGAGTTCGTGTCTTTCGTCAATCGCCAGTCCGCGGCGGGCGCGGTGCCGGCCCCGGTCAGGGAGTGGCTGGACCTGGCCGAGGGTATCCTCATGGACCCCAAGTCGTCCGTGGCGCAGGCCGTCAGGAAGATACACGACCTGCTGGAGCAGGGGAACATGTTCCGCATGACCTTCCAGGTAGTCGCTGCTCACATAGGAACAGACACGGAGCTCGGCCGTGTGTCAACGAACTCGTGGTTGTATTCATTTTACGAACGACTTTTAGCTATCGGTAGGCGGTTTAACGACTCATATTATTATTATGTATGACAGAACATAACAAAATGCGTAAATAAAACAAAGCGGTACACGAAGCTTTGTTTGTTAATCAATTCATAATAAAAACGTTCTGTGTCAGCGAGATTGCGCAGCGCTGTAGATTCCTTTATTGTTACGAAGCCAAATAAATGTTTCAGTTGAGTCAGCTCGAGAATAAGGCTACTTTGAAATTATCATTCATTATTTAAATACACCTTATTAAACGAGTTCCACGTGTTAACATTTCAAAATGTTTACGAGTTAAGTTTTTAAAATATTGCGTATTTGACAGCAAAATTCACATTGCGAAACAAAAATGATTAAAAAAAGTAAATCAAACGACTTTTCTAATTATATTAATTGATCGATGGTCATTAATGATTTATTACATTTCTCGTTAATGAGTTATATCCGTCTTGAACGTAACATGATAATAACTTTAATGTAAACATTATAATGTTGAATCTCATATTATCATTACGAACACTTCGATTGAACCGGACTGTACGAACGCAATTATACGCTAATATAGAAAATTGAGAATAACCTTGCAAGACATAATCTACATCGAATATAATGTTTATGTATTTGTACGGATTATTCCAAGCATTTATATATGGTAAATGGGGAACTGATTTACGTCTTCACGATTTTATACCATTTTCATGACTATTTCTTCACTTGCTCGTCTTTGGTTGACCTTGGAGTTGTTCTCCAGTTAACTGGTCATGGAGTCATATATGTTGTTCTCATGTTAACTGGTCATGTCATTAACTAGGAGGATCACCCGGACCTGTGCGAGCTGCAGCTGTCCTCTCACCAGCTCATATACGACATGTACAACACCATTTCACTCACAGAGATCAAGGGCTACGCCATGATGCAGTTCTCATGGATGCTGCTGAGGATATACGGAAAAGGTAAGCTCACACAGGATATAGCTCACTATATATTCATATAGCATTTTTTTGTTTTCAGTCAGTTAAACTCAGGATGTATTCGAACATATATTAGCGGGTGTCTCGATATAAAACCATAATTGTCGCTCCCGGCTGCATTGAATGACAAAATTATTCTTGTTATCAAAAGTATCCGTGTCAATGTTATTGGTAACATTATATGTTATTGCGAGTGATATAAGTAGATGATAGCCATACGTGTCGCAATTACTGGGAATTGAATATAAACATCCAGATTCCCAGGAACTCTGGCCAGTTATTGGGTTGAATTTAAAGGAATATGTACTATATAAAGTATTATTTATTTTCAGGGAATTTCACCCAGGAGGCGAGTCTGACACGTCAGAGATACGGCGAAAGGACGTCCCGGACGGCGGCGGCGGCCAGGTCTGCTCTGGCTATGGCCAAGAGAGATCTCTACAGATGTGACCCACCACAACACAAGGAAGGTATACTATCAGTAGCACAGTACTCCTCACAAGGAAGAAATAAACGTTAATAAACCAAAAAAAATTACAATATCTTTGTAACGTTAAAGGAGAGACGTACGCGGAGGTGACCCGTCTGTTGCAAGGCTACATAGAAAACGAAGTGAACATGAACTCCGACCAGACGTGCAAAGAGAACTGCGCCTTCTACACACTCGCCGAGCAACACTCGTGTTACGACGAGAAGATGTTCTGCTCGCAGCAGCCCAAGTGCAAGGGCAGGATCATCAGCTGCCAGTACATCGACTCCGACATGTGGATATGTAAAGCGGTGAGCTCCTCATAGTTAGTGGCTCATAGCTGTTATTTACGATCTGAGTAATAACCATGTTTTCCACAGAGGAAGAACAGCAATCGTAGATACGAATGGATTGAATATGAGAACGGTCGCACCCTGGGGAAAGTCGGGAGCTGCACGAGAGGGACCACTAAGGTAATAATTGTTACAATACTTCGAGATCTATACATATTCTCAACAACATTTGTTTTTTTTTTGTAAGACGACCGAACATCGAAGCATTTCGTGTTTGGATGAAGTTGTTAATGTTCATACAATGTAACATCCAGGTGGATTCTTGGTGGCGTTGGTTATTCTGGCACTGTTCTTACTGTATGTGTATCTGCGACGAGGCCGGTCCCACCTCCCATCGTTATTTCAGTCTGTGGGACACCACCTCCGACGTTAAGAACAACAAGTTAGTCCCACAACATTCGGGACGCTCGCACACTCATCATTGATAATTTTTTCATTCGAAGGTCGACTCCTGGTGGACATGGAAACTCCTACACTGCTCCTACTGTTTGTGTCTTTGCGAAGACCATATCAGCGTATCAGAGCGCACATTTAGTTTACGAGAAACATTGGCTGACATGACCGCCAACAAGTCAGTACACGACACGGGAGAGTCGGGCCATAACACCGCTGTAGATTGAGTTATTTAGCTTTGGGTTGTTTAGCTTCTTTTGTAAATAACTTTTCATCTCCACTAACTCATATTTAGACTAACATCATGTCAAAAAAGGGCTTCTGTTTGTATAGCAAGGGTGTGCGGGTGTCCAAATGTTATTTAATTTTTTATTTTTATTCTTTATATTAAAAATGTATTAATTATCAGGGTAGTGACCGGGCTGAGGCTCGTGAAGTATGGAAGGGTTTTCCACCTCCAGATAAGCGAAGGGACTCTCGGGGAGAGAGGTTCTATCACACCGACTGGCTGGGTGCCGATACAAAAATTCGACATAACTGATGTCGGTGTGAAGGAGGGAGTCGACTACCATACCCTCACTTATGAGAGGCGAGCGATTGATTTAGACGAACTCGATTCACCAACAGGTCACGTTCTGACAGGAGTCAGGTACACACACTATACTATAAAATGTATACATTATTTGGAACCGCTTCTCATTTTGATACCATTTCAGATTCCGTATGATCGGTGCCCATCTTCACTTTGAAATACGTTCCACTCCATTCAACTACACAACCGGTCGCCTGGCCCCCGACAGGAGCCAGTGGATCAGTAACGACAACACCGATGGAGCCGACACCAAACCCAGGTATGATTAATTCTCGGTCCTCATCGATCAGTGTTTCAGTTTCCTAATGATCGTTCCGTTCCAGGGTCCGCCTGGATCTGTACAAGCCGGACCTGCCGACCCGCAGTTTATCACCGCTGCCGGTGGACTCGCAACACGATCAGTACATAGAGTTCACTCATAGTGACTTAGACGCGGACGCGGCGCAGAGTACGGTGCCTTTCATTGACATCCAACCGCTCGAACCGTCGAAGGGTAAGATTCGATTCCGTACTAAACCTGAGCCTATTATAGTATCATAATAGTAATGATAATGTTTCCTGTTCAGGCTCGGCCCTACTGAGCGGCGCGGGCATCATCCACCGCGGCGCTCGCGGCTCGGGCGGGTTCATCTCTACCAAGCTGTTCACGTACGACTACTCCAGACACGTCAAGGCCGAGCTGCCTCCTAGCAGCTTCGAGGACACCGAGGCGGACCTGCCGCCGCTCAATACCTTCTAGATATAAGTCTTACCTTATACTCATTATAATTTAGTATAAATGAACAATAAACGTATTTTAAGACTTACGACACGACTATTTTATTTCTACATGAATATAGTTTGAGTTTTTCTCCCATGTTCTACCAGTGTGTCGTATAGTGTGTACGTACCTGTACTCTGAGTGGATGCGCGGCGAGCAGGGCCAGCATGTCCGGCGGCGGTAACACGTCCGCGGCCCTGATGCCCATACAGCGGACCCCCGCACACAGGAAGGCCGACAGGTAGCGGTGGAGGGGGAAGTGGAACGACGCGTGCATAGACTCCGCCTGGGAACACGCACGGGAGATGAGAACCTCCTCACAACACTATTACGATGATGGAAAATAGACAAGAACAGTTGCGAAACTGTCAGATCAATCAATAATGAAGAGCCTTCGTTGCATATAACGATATAGTGCATTTGATTTAAGCTGAGCTTTGCATTTGTGTGAGTGTACACGGATAGTGTAGGTGTGATGTCAAATTTTTGAATGGCACGTTCTTTTCTAGTTTTGAACCGGTTTATACTGCTTAGACTCCGCCCCGCACCTTCTGCACTTCACCCTTTGTACTGGTAGCAAAATCAAATGTTGAAAACGATATGTCAAGTAAAGAGGAATTTGTAGTTTTTTCAAAAAAAATATTAATTAATTTTTTTTCCATAATATTTCCATGTGGACTTTACAAGTTTTGCTTATTTTATTTTTAATCTAGAATAGTTCTCGCATTTAAGTTGTGTATCAATTTAAATTAAAATAAAATTTTATTCAAAAAGTTTTTCGTCTAACTTTACTTTTACTTTCACTCACACAAATGCAAAGCTCAGCTTAAGTCTAACGGACTAAACCTCCCACGTAAGTTGTTGTATGCCACAAAAATGCTATTTTGCTTTTTTTCTAAAAAATGCCCTATCATTACATCCATTCAAATTAAAAATAAAACAACAAAAACACTATTTTTAAAGGATTTGTCAGACGCATAATGTTGTAATTTTCAAACGCAAACGGATCACGCAACTGATGTATATGCCTATGCAACTGTATACGCGGGGCGTAAGGTGAGTAAAATCACGCGCCTCGTATGAGTTACATACAACAGAGTGAGACTTATGTTTTTCAACGTATACAGTTGTAACTATCATATACTACAAGTGATGCTACCTGGGCGCCGCAGTATAATATTGTAAGTATCAGATACAACGCCTTTTTTAGCTTCTACTCCGGATTAAAATGTCGTGTGAACAACAATATCTCCGCAAATAGGCATATTAATTAAAATATCTTTTAACGTAGTTAAGAAAACTATTATGTTAAATTTAAATACGAAATTTTAAAAAGATGCATCAATAAAGGCAGATTTTGGTTTAATTTGAATCTTTGAAACGCTCTACTATAAAATTACACTTTTGGAGATACAACAACTTACGTGGGAGGTATCGATTTATATAAGCAATGTCGTATCAAGTGCTCTAAAAATGAGTTTATCTCGAACTAGTAAATTAAGCCAAATTGCAGCCGGTTTAAATATTCAGGCCCTATTTTGTAGGAAACGCTACATTCGCTAGATGGTTAATCGTTTGATCTTTGAATCGAATATTCTTTGTACGGTTTATAACAATTGTTAACCGACACTATAATGAGTCCAAAAAGTATTCCACACTGTCGTACTCCGTGTTAAGTGTGAGTGTTGTATCACTATGCCTACCGGGTGTTGTCTGGGCTGAGCGGGTGCGGTGCAGTTAACAGCGTCCAGCCAGTCCCGCAAGTACCCCAGGGCAGCAGCCAGCATCCTGCGGGCGAGCGGCGCGTGCGAGGGGTCCCCCAAGTGCCCCAGCACGCTCCACATGGGGTACGCGGCCGCCTCTAGCTCACACGAGAACGCCGCGTAATACGAGGACGGCTCGAACTCTATGTGGCCGCCGGTCTCACGGATGTTGACGTTCATACCTGGAACAACACAACTCACATTACTATTATGTCTAAAACTAACAAGTACGCAATTAAATAAAACTATGGTTTTTGATCTACTCCATCTTTATATATATAAATCTTCTGTGTGTATGTCACTGAACTTCTCTCAAACGACTGGACCGATTTAGATGAAATTTTTTATGTGTGTTCAAGGGGATCTGGGAATTGTTTAGATTCACAATTTTGTCCGCTGGACAATGTTTTTTTTAATAAATTTTTAATTTATTAGTAGTAGTTGATACAAACGTTTTTTTTGACATTAGATTTGACAGCTAACTAATATGTCAATCATTCTGTCGCACTTCAAAACAAGGAGATTTATGGCTTTAATAAGTAAACTCCAAAAATATAAATAAAAAAACGTAATAGATATTTCTTGATTATAAGGCGATACGAAGTTCACCGGGTGTTCTAGTATAAATGTAAAGTATCAGACACTTACACATCGTCTGACCGAGATGAAGGTTATTGCAAAAAAAATCTAAACGTTGAGTAAACTATAGAACGACAATAAGCGCGAAGTAGATCTAAATACATAGTTTATACTAGTTGTAGTGTGGGTGGTAGTACCTTGCAGCATGGAAAGGAACTCGAACCACATGTCGACGAGCGAGTCGTCCTGCAGGAACATGAGCGCCACGCTCTTGTGGGACAGCACGTTGTTGAAGTCGGACACGAGCGGCCAGTAGCAGTGCTCCTTCATGACGCGCTTGGTGCAGTCGATGACGTAGTGGAAGTTGCGGTCGGGGTCGTGCAGCGTGTTCTGCACCAGGATCCTGCCCATCATGACCCGCAGCGACAGCACCATCACGTGCAGCAGGTGCAGCTGCTGCACGCAGCGCAGCGCCAGCGCCTCGTTGGAGAACAGCTGCACGGACATGTGCACCACGCGGTTGGACAGCGTGTCGGGGTCCGCCGAGCTCTCCAGCACCAGCGGGATGCGGGCGTAGTGCATCACGAACGTGCGGGTCAGGTGCTCCTGGGAACCATCATGCTTCATCAATACATTGTACTAGACGGATATTGATGAAACTATATAGTACATTAAAAATAGAAATTGGCAATCTTGTAAACGTGATCAGCTGATATTGACAAAGACTTGTCTATGACCCTAGTGATGTGTGTACTCTTTAAGATACTTTAATCTTAATTATTAAATAAAAGTATTTATATAATAAACAATCTTCAATTTGTGCATATTTTGTTACGTATTTATTAGTAAGCTTTTTTTAATGAGTTTATAAATGCAGAACGAGTTTGACGCTCTTTTTTTATGGAGTTTAGCAATCCAGAATGCAAACGAAGACACAGAAGAGTTATATGCATCCCAATAGCTCTAAAAATCCCTGGGTCCTTGGAAAAACAAGGACCCCAAATAACATGCTATCAAGGTCAATACGTATTACGAGATCACTAACGATTTTAAAAAAAAATCACTTTTTAGCGCTACCTATGTTTAGTTCCGCCTGCTGAATATCAGAAAAAATGATATTTTGATCCATTTGCTCATTTTCATCACAGCCTGTTGAATATAGTATACTTTTTGTTAGAATCAGATCTTTTATATAATTGTGAGTTGTAAATAAATGTGAGTGAGTGAGTAATAATGATAATAAATATCTCTACTTAAAAAAGAAAGTCGTGTCAGTTACACTATTTATAGCCTGACAACGGCTTTACTGCCTTTAAGGAGGAACGGAGTTCCCCTGGTCAGCTATACATTTCTAAATTGGAAAGTAACGCAGACGCTATCGCGGACAAAAACTAGTCCATTATCTAATCATCATGTACAACACTAATTTTTCAAAGACAAATAAACTTTGATGAGTAAAAAATGATCGTGTCAATTTGACAATTGCAATAAATTTTCATGTTCAAAATAATTTTATTTATTTTATTTGTAATCAACAGCATATTTGTACAGTTTTGAAAACTTCATCAAGACTATGGCCATTTATAAAATAAACATAAATACACGGTGGTTTAGTGATGAAAAGATTGTTAAAAACATTGGTGGGTTCATTGTGGTGTAATTATTATTAGGATTGATATTCAATTGTATGTAAGAACGGAGTAATCGTGCTCAGTTGCTTTGTTTACAAGATTGCCAATTTCTAATGAAATGGACTATACAGTAATGTAGCTTAAGAGAAAAAAAATATTTAGAAAGGATTACTACATATCAGTTATATAGGAATTCTTGTATCACACACAACAGATGTCGCTACCTGTCACTCACTACCACTATTATTTTAACAAACTTTATTAAAATGAAACTAATATTTTCGGATTTACAACGCGATTTTTATTTTTGATTATAAACTACATACTCCCGACGTTTCATTTATAATGAAAAATAAAAAACATTAGTTTCATTTCAATGAATACTTTCAAAAATCTTAGATATCATTAAACTTTATTAACTTCTCTCTAAGATATTCCAAAGTCATCAGACGAAGACGTGGACAAAAAGAAGTATTAGGTACAGAACCGAGAGTAACATCACACCTTGTAATCCTGGTCCGGTAACATGTTCAGCAGGAAACAGACGACGTTTTGTGGGAACTCATATTTGAACGTCCAGAATATGAACTCATCGAGGAGCGTGTTGTGTTGTAACCTGGGAGCTAGGGCTGGCAGGTGGCGGTATCTGGAACATGAGATAGACATGTTGATAGAAATGTATGAGAATTGAGATAACATAAAACAGTTAATACGGAACATACTCGTCAGGTGGCTCCGGAGCTGGGAAGGAATCGATCGCCTTCTCATACACTCTGTTGGATTCTGTCATGTAACGACCGTAGTCCGTGTCGGGTTGCGGAGCTGACACCAGGTTGCGGTACATCTGTAAATACATTCACCTTATGTTATACCTGATATACTAGCGAATCTATGTCCAGATGTTAAGTCTGGAGAAACTATCTTCATGTACATTAGATGTATGACCTGACCTGCGGATTGATGAGCGCCTTGGTCATAGCGGACCTCATGAGGTCGCCCATGTTGTTGAACTCCATCAACATCTGCACGTACCCCTCACACTCCTGGACCGCCACCCGGTAGTTATCGGAGTTAGCGGCGCCCGTACTGAAAACGATTTATTATATGAGCAAAATAATATTTGTAATAGCTTTACACTTTACCTCTTAACAGTTTTCTAATTAATATATCTACTCTAAGATCTCCTTTGAAATGCTTACAAGAGTTTTTTTGTCTCAAAGGTGGCAAACGAGCACACGGCCTACTCGGTGAGCAGTAGTCACCATCGCCCATGGACATTTGCAACATCTTTTTTTCGGATGCTTTTCCAACCTTTGTTTTTTAGGAATAGGAAATGTTGGGAATAAAGAAACGACAAGGAAAGGTGGGAACAGAGAAAAGGCAACCGGCTCTATCACTCGTCGAACGAAACTCAGCCATTAAAGACTACTTCACGCCGTTCTTCTGTGAGAGGGTGGTACTTTCCCGGTCGAGCCAGCTCATATTCGATCTGTAGTTACATGACTATAGCTAGTATCTACCACCTTGTAACCTAGTACTTCAGTCTTTAACCTTCCACCAAATGGTCTTTGTGTTAGTGGACGTGTTATGTGTCGTGTCTCACCTGTTCTCCCTGAAGTGCTGCAGCAGCCTCAGTATGAGCCTGGGCATCATGGCCTCGGCCACACACATGAGCTCGGCGGGCGCGATCCCGGGGTGGGGACACTTGTTGCCATGGTTACTACAGAAACTGGAAACAATTTTATCGTATTAAATAACTGTTTTATATTCATAATATATTAACATCTAATGAGATCAAAGATTTTTGCGAGTATTGATTTAAATGAAATGTTTTCGGATAACTACGCAAATTTCGTTATTCTTTCGGTGACTTTGCAGCAACCGTGATTACGGGGAGACAAGATGTGTTTGTTTATTTTCGTTTAAATCTGTTCATCAATATTTTATTATAGCCAAATTTGTTGTAATAAAACTGCTATTTAATGTACATAGACATTTATCCAAATAAAACTATATATCAGTTTAATGGTGTCTAAGATCCTCGCGTTTGATTTCAATTCACATTTAAGATGCAACTATGTTTTCCAAATTTACCTGACGTTTAAATTCGTTTACAGTAAATTCGTTTAAAGTAAATGTAAAAAAGAATAATAAAATTTTTTAGGAAGCTATCCCAAAAACCGTCTCATTTTATATACATCCGTTTTCAATACTGTTTAAGATTTTTTATAGAAGTGTAGTTTATTTTATAATATTAATGTTTGTATAAGATTAATAAAAATTGTAAAGTTAAATTACATCTAGTATTTTGAAATAAATATATGTATATAAATTAAGATCTGAACACTTCTTAGAAGAAGGATATATCGTAAGAAATTGTCTATCTGATTTAAGTATAAATAGGTCAAATGAAATAGGGTTCTTATTAAAAAAGAAAAATGTGCAATGTATGTTGCTGTATATACTATTTTAAACACTACAAATATCACAAAGCGTAAGGAGTTAAGTGCTCAAATGACATATTGATATTTAGGAAACAGTAAACAATAAAAAGGGTACTGTGACGTATTACGTATATTTTATGTTTGTCGTTGAAATATAAATTATGATATGCTATTTAATAAAACTATATTGAATTCTTTTAATTTAATCAAATTTATATAAAGACGGAATTGTCACTATTCTTAGTACAAGTTTGCACCAGCACACTACTTACGTATCGTTTCCCGTTTCTCATTTATTGACCCACGTTAATACTATAATATCCTAAGTTTAATACATTGTTAACGCTCCGTATGTAGTGTGACTGTCAGGAATTAGGGTAAGCATAAAGATGTCAAGAACAGACGTCTGGGTCATCTGTAGTCACTGTACGGAACCAGCAATGTCAGGGTTACGTACCCATGTTCTGTAACCGGGTCACTGGCTCATGGTCATTATTAAGGTCAATCTAGTACATACATTTTGGATTATCGAAATCGTAAATGTCAATGACCCTAATAAACACCCTGGTTGTTAATATTGGATTATTTTTTAATATGTAACACGTAAGGAATTCTAACGAAGAAATCAGTTGGCTAGTGAGTCTGGTCTTTTTATTGTTCTAGGAATTAACGAACAGAATTTACATACTTTCAAAAAACATGTCTGTCATCTCAGTAATAAACATATTTCCTACTAACGTTGAGTGAAGACCATAAAATATGAATGCTCTGATATATGTATGTCATTTCTTAATTACCATCATCATAGCCCATATAAAGATTTTTTTATATGGATTATACATATGATAGTCGTAGGCAGTACGTGTGGGCAGCTTTTCCTTCTAGTGATGTCAGAGATGACGTCATTCCCGCCCCCATTACCGCCGGCCGAGACATATTGAATGGGTTCTATTCACAAAGCCGCAATATAGACGAGCGTTTCTTGGCATAGGTCATACATTTTATATGGCTTGCGTGTGTATTGCTTAAGCCCTAATAAGATGGTATTCATCATCAAACTATCAGAGATCACTTTTGACCAAAGACCTTTTCTCACATGGAGAAGATTTGAGCATTAATCACCACGCTTTTTCAAGAAGGGTCGATAATTTCAAACCTATAATTTGTAATTATGAGTTCTCGTTTCCTTACGATGTTTTTCTTAACTATCTATCAGTGGTGGCTAAATACTCTTATAAAGTACATGACTCGGTAAAATCACATTGGTGCTTGCCAGGATCGAACCTACGCCACGCAAGAGAGTCGGGCCTTTAGCCTCTAGGCCACGACGACTTGTTCTATGGTATTATTAACTATTGGTGGTATTATTTTGGTGTAACTCACCCGTCCTCCTTCATGACTGAGTTGTCCCCACAGTCGCAGGCCCCGCCGGCCTGTGACAGGAACATGTTGAAGTCGTGTGTGGAGTGGTCTCCTCGGTGGAAACACTCCCGACAGATGCTCATGCAGGGCGATATGCCGCATGTCCGACAGCGGTAGGCCACGACCCGCGGGATCCACACCAGCCCGCATTTGTCGTGCTTGTCGTAACTGCGCACTGGAAATGCAATGATATGATTTTAATATATCAAAATAACCTAAGAATATATTTAATAATTTTAAGGGCATACGTTTCCAAAATACAATATACAGCCTCGTAATCAACATAACACTTATAGTTTCACTAAGTTTTAAAAACATCTTATGTAATTTTTGTATGAAAAAAAGCGTAAGTACATTTTGTGTTCGACGAACGATCCGTCAAATAATATTTCCAAGTGATATACAACAACTTCCAATATATTTAATTGGTTCCTTTTGATCTCTTGTTCATTGTTATAACATTTAATAAAAAAATATGTACAAAAGAAACAAGACAACAAATGAGAAAAAAGAATGTACTTATATTTAATTGTATTACATGTATGATCAAATATCTTGTGTTCCATAAGAGAAAAGGTAAATTAAAATATACACAAGATGAAGGCAAGCTTTAACGTTATAAAGAGTTATAAAAAAATATAAAACATAACATCATTTAAAAAAATAGTTAAAATATATGTACACAAATAAATAAAATTGTAATGTCTGTTTGTTTTATTGAAATAACCAATTTTTACTTCATTTATATGAATATATACCTATACGGTACCTACACCAAAATAACATTTTTTTTAAATTTTTGTCTGTCTGTCTGTTTGTTCCGGCTAATCTCTGTAATGGCTGGGCCAATTGTGACGAAACTTTTGCAGACAGATAGCTGATATAATAAGGAGTAACTTTGCCTACTTTTCATCCCGAAAATTAAGTGTTATCACGAGCGAGTGGGGTTAATTATTTTTTTACGTAGTCGTCGCGGATGACAGCTTGTCTTCAATAAGAAGCACAAGGATTTTAAATTATTAATTGTAACAGGAGTTTCTCACATTCATTTTCTTTCCATGTTGTAACAATCGTCTTTTCAGAGATTTCGCTAATTATGTATATTGTGCACTTAAAAATATTAACAATATTTATAAAATATTTTTAAAAAGAGTTATAAAATCATATCAATTTGTATAGATAAGTAGTTTAAAGTAACAAATAGTTCTTAAATGAAATAAAACCAGCCTTTGATTTTGAAAACCAGCCTTTGATTTTGATTTGAACCGAATAGCTATTTTCTCAAGTGATTATGTTCGTTATAAGAAGCTGAGGCATAAAAAGTCTTTTGTACGTCTACCTGTTTTTTTCTGAAGTGCCTAAACCTTTTTGAAAATACTTCAATTGGGACTTGTTTGAACAAATATAAGGGATTTTGCTCCACAAACAAAACTTATAATTTTAGGTAAAAAAAATCACTTTCTGTGTAACCGCATTCAATTTAAAACACTAAAGAAAATAAACACAATATATATAATTTCAAGCAGAAAACACAAAATATTAAAGCGAACGAAGCGTTGAGAACGAAACTCTAGAAAGGTATATCTTGCATATTTTGAAAAATTTTGAGCTAAAGACCAATACATTAAAAATGTATTCATATTAAATAAAGATTCATTAATAAGAGTACCCTAGTAAGTAAGTAGTGAGTAGCCTAGTAAGTAAGAGTAAGTAATCAGTTTCAGAATATATCAACTAAATAGCTTTGACAGTAAAGCTAAGATAATAAAGATATAACGGTTAAATTACATGATAATAAAACACTGAATTGAATAAAGTACGATAAACAAGATAATACATATACATACACATCTTCCATTAACAGTCGCAAGTAAAATTTCTTCAGAGAGGCTATGTACTTGGGATATAATATGGATTTTATATTATGAAACTTATTTATTACAAAGAGGCATTGTATCAACATTTTTTTGTGTTTTCCCTTAAAGAAGATGCGATCAAGCGTAGCTTAAATAAATTACTTGTTAGTTCATAATATATTAAAAATGTTTATAGCTTTAGATATATTGATCAATCTTTTACATCTAAACGTAACAATTAACTTCAACAATATATTTCGTATACAATCTGTTTTAATTACAGGTTACTTAACCAGTTATTGGTTTGTTTATGAAGTAATAATACATTTAAATATTAATATGAGTCCAATTATTTTTACTTTATATCTATATAGAATATATAAAAGAAAGTTGTGTTAGTTATACTATTTAAAACTCAAGAACGTCTGTAGGGATGTGGTTGGAAATTGGTGAGGAGATAGCTTCGAACCAAAAGACGGATATGGGATATTTAAATCGGTTTAATCAAAAAGAAAAAATACTTTATAAATTTCAATATCTGGTTATTTATGGCCTCTAGGGCGGACTAGAGTTAGCCCGGTCAGCTATACATAAAATATTACTAATGCCGAAAAACAAAAACTAATCACTTATAAATGGTTTGATCATATCAGAATGGAACACATTAAAACATTTATAAAAATCTCTATATTATATGCCTTTGTGATAAAATAACACTGAATGTTTAGCATCAAAAAAGGCACAATTTTTTTATATTTATCAGTAGAAAAATATAAACAATCTAGAGTCACGTCATACATTCTAGCACTTCATAATTATAAAAAAAATCCTCCAGTTTTTTGTAAGAACTTCTTCGTTAATATTAAAACTGCAATGCGCAACAATTATATAAGGCCACTGACGTCTAAAATGCTGCAAACAAAGAATACACAAGGTTTAACCTCTTACTTTCCCTCTTTGAATTCCTTTTTTGTATAGCATCGAAATCATTATTACCCTTTGAACAATAGCAACATCTTAATCACTATCGTATACCTATTTCAATAATGCAACATCGTTTCAGTCATTGTAAAGAAAAGGAACAGCAAAAAAAAATTCTAAATATCGATTAGTAAACATATTTTTTTTATATAATCATTATATGAGTCACAGACAAACAGTGGAATAACTGACAGTAGAGGGGCTTACGAGTGTGGATGAACCTACGCAAGGGTCATTAATGGTACAAAAAATTGGTAATATTGTAACGATCGTATTTAGAGTATGATGCAAACTTATATTCATACTAGCAAAGTATTTGGTACCCAGAAATAAAAATATATTTGTAACTTTTTCATTCAAAATCTAAGTTCTTTCCACAATAACGTGACAGAGTCAATTCCTATAACTTTACATTTTACATCTTCATTATCAAAAAAACGTATAAGATCATAATATTGGAGCACATTCAATATATTTTGGAAACAATGTTTTCTTTTTTCATAGTAATGAAGCAAGAAATAGTGTAATATCAATACACATAAAAATCCTCGCGATAAAAAAGGTTCAGAACAGGTCTCGGTGTAAAAAATAATCTAATTTTATCTTTAGGACTGGCACTGATTCAAAACAAATTATGACTAACCATGTTTTGAATTCCCTCCGATCAGAACAGAAGATAAGTTTATTTCTTTTATTTTATTGTAATATGAACATAATTACATAAAGAACAATAGACATACGTAGTGAAAGTGCGCAAGTGAACCTTTTATCGAAAATGAGAAATCCATTGTAGACGTGTCAATTTTTAATCGGTGAACAATACGAAATTCACTAAATATAATAAGATCAACAAAAGCTCAGGTGAACGCCTTTCACGTTACCCCTATATCTTGCCCGGCCGTAATGCGACATGCGATAGATTGACACAAAACAGTGACATTATGTAACCAAAGCATTAAAAAAATACGATACATATTTGAGACAATAGAGATCATACTCTGTTGTGTTTGTTACAAACATCCGAAGCGTCTTATAATTATATAAATCACGAAAACAATTAAAACCGTCTGTTAGAATTAACCGACAAAACTCGCATCTGTAATGATAGGTGGTAATGCGATCGTACCCTCCGTCCACCTCCCTACGACTATCGCCACTATTCCTATGTATTAAGTGTTACAATCGCTTGCACCCCGCCCGTGGTAGATGGTTAATGCCCTGTCAGAGCAGCGTCATGTGCAATTGACATTTCGTAAAGTATTTTCACTTAAAACTAGTTTATAATAACTCGCCATTGTGTACATTGGCGACTTAATTTATAGATTACAATCATTATATTGAAGTTTTAATTAATGGTTGTATACATTTTAATGTAAATAAAATTTTTATTATAATGATTTTCGTGACCTTTTATCAAATACGTTGTATTGAAATTTTTTTTTTCATGAATAAGTTCCATAAGTCAGGGATCGAATACTTTTTTATGCAAACTATATTTAAAATTTTTAAGAAACGAATTTTTATAAGCACTTAGTGTTCAGCGACTTGTATTTTCCTGCACGCATTCCATTGTTAATATGCCCAAAAATTCAGATGAAGTCACGGGTATTAAATAGTCTTATAATATCAGAATAATTAAAATTATTCGTTACTTAAAGATTTGGCTCATTAATATGTTCCATTTATTAATATGTACATTTTATTCGGATGAATTTTTTTCTTTCTACACAAGATAATTGATACCAGATATCTTATTTAACCAAACGCGACATTATAAGTCTATAAAATGAATGCTATTCAAGCTGTAACTGTATAAGCTGGATCGCCAATTAAATTAATAAATAAAGTATCCGCTAACAATGTTTTTGCCTCGTTTTAAAAGCAGTGATGAAGACGAATAGCGCGTTACAATTATCCTGAGATGGAACAGAGATCCATTCCCATATACGAAATTGATTCTGTTACTTTGGATTATGGAATTTTCCATCGTAAACATCTCTTTTCTGCTCATTACCGGTTGCATAATATATAAAAAACATGCCACGCCCGACTTACTTGCGATCTGCAATAGATGTTCATATTAAATGGAAACAAATTGTATGAAACATCTATATTCATAATTTTTCAACATCATTCATATTCATCTTTGGACTTAAGGAAAAAAATATAATATGAGTTGCGACACCAGTACCAAATATTCCAATTTGACCGGTCACTACGGTGCAAGCCCCTGGCGGCGTACACCGGCGACACTGACACATTCATACAACGACCGCACTTAAAAATATAATCAACTATAAAGATGCAGTCAATTACTCATATCGGCAAAAAAACACGTCTGTTTATTCCCAGCAGGGTGTGGGGGAGGGGACCGGCACGTGTACAGCGATCAGCTGTTGGAGGGGTCAACGGACGGCTCGGCCGGGCCGGTTAACATCGCCTCGCAAGAAAGGCGGTCGAGTCATTGCACTGGCGACCGGCGACCGGCAGCGAGGCTGCTCTGAACCGACGAGTTCACGACGTGGACCCCAACTGGTGATGGATGACTCAGAACGACCTTCGATCACGAAGGGCCTCATATATAGGATAGTATGACTGATAGTAATGTAATATATAGTGTACGAGCAAGGATACGCAAGGTTGACAACCTCGGTGGAGATGATCGCGGAACCTTACCCAGTGAACCGCGGCTCATGCGGCCGATCCACCGCGGGGATTATGTGTTCCTGGACTCTGATAAATACTTACATAGCATCGGTAATGATCGCGGTGGGACGGATCATTTAGCACTACGAGGAATGAACATTGTATGTTTTGTAATGTACGGGCCATGGAGATGAACCGATAATCCTGAACTGCCAATTAAAATAGTAATAGAGATGAAAATTTTCTAATAGACCGTCGATAGCGATAATATGTCGAAGATACGTCTCGTGCGATGACGCGTCATTTTGAATTTAGTGCTGTTTAAGAAGTATATCATACGAATTTTATTTTTAAATTAATTTTAAAATCGTTAAATCATTTCCCTAATCGATTCTTTTTTAGTTAATCGTCTAAGTATCGATATCATCTCAATCCAATACATTTATCGATAGCCCACCAGTCGATCTACTTGTAAGAGCATCTCTCTTCCGTGACGTCACCTAAAAGGAATCTCTTCTCACTTATTGAGTATTCGTTAGATCAACATCATCTCGGACTATAATATTAGAACAGGTTTTATTTATTTTATATTTATATGTATAATTCGCTTTATATTTACTCTTCTACTTAGATCTTAACTCAAATCTTTGGGCACGTTTTCGTGTTCGTAGTGTAAATTATCACTTCTAAACGGTACAACATTAATATTCTATGTACTTATAATGATGAAATACATTCATGTGACAGACATTCTCATCTCATCTGTCTGTGATCACGGTTGGTACAAAGTAATCGAAACGTAGCGACGGGAGTACGTAGTTTTTAAAATAATAAAATACGCGAAGTATAATCCAAAAAGTATTAGTTTCATTTAAATGAAGACTTTATCGATATTTTCATTTTATTTCGATTCTTTTTGATATCAATCGTACACAATTATTTTTTTCTCTATACCATTATATTGCGTGTGACAGCCCTCACGTTATTTTCACTCAACATCTCAGTTAGTTATAAATATTTTTATTTATTAATAGCTTTGGCGACAACGTTACTAAATATCAATTCAAGGGAGCAAGCACCTGTCGTTTGCTAGGCTTCCGTTTTACTAATAAACATACCGAATTATTACAACGGCCAGTGTGTCCTTGAAGGCCATACCTATCATATAAAAGGTGTTCCAGTTTCAGCTGCCTTTAAACTATTTGATAACAGCTGGTTTGCATACGAGTAAAAAACTAAAAATGTTAAACTGTTGTATGGAACAATATCATATTATAATGATCGCGAGTTGGAACATTTGGGTGACGTCCAAGTGTGAGTGTTCCAATCGATGCGACGCCTACTAAAGTTAGACAACACTATACTATATTCTCATGATATTCATAATACGTATGTACAACAATTAATTTCCACATACAAGATATAGGATACATTAAATAAAATTATTCTTACTTCTACCATATGGGTGTATGGATGTTTGTTGCCCCGTCAGACACTACTAAACTGATTTTGATGGAACTATACACTTGTTATATGTATGAAGTCACTTCACAAAGGTGGGTTACCATCTGTTGATCGCACAATACATTTATAACTATAAGAGCCTAACTTCAATTCCAAGAAGACAAAGTCACAGACAAAAACTAGTGATCAATAAAATAATAATTAAATACATAGTATAAAAAATTACGCAACACTATTAAAAAAGTTATGAATAGGATTTTCCTCAGGATAACGACCTATGTATGAAGTGACCGCAATTCCATTTCAGTGTAGACTCGCAACAAAGTTGATTGTCATTGAAGGCCTAAAGCAATAAAAAGTATAATGTTGAGGTTGTTTTTTTAATGATAATATAAATTTTAAATGTTTTAAACTTACATAGATTTTCATCGTCAAATTACATATTGAATTACTATGATTTCATTCATAAACCTACACTGATACTATCATATGCAAAGTTTTATGAAAGAAAAACTGTTAACTGTCAATATGTTGTGTCACAATGTGAACTGGTAGTAAACATACTGTACACAAACAAATATTTCATATAGTTTGAGTTGTTCAGTCAATAGCTTACAAAAATTATGGACAACAGAAAAATTATAAAATTCCATATTTACATCTATATATATTGTTATATACAGGGTGACTGGTGAATTACTATCAATATTTAAGGAGCGTACTCGGTACATGATTCTCATTCGAATTATGTAAAAAAATAGGTACTTCATTTTTGACCAAATTTCCGTATAAATAAATAAAGTGTAGACACGTTCCAAGTGTTCCAAGTGTGGACGCGTACGGCGGCGTGCTGATACAACACTACGCCGCCGCACGCGTATGTGTGTGTGTGTGTGTGTATACCTAATCTGTAGGGTGTTCATACGATGCGTAATTAATTACATAACTTTTGGTTAACTTCACTTAGAAGTTTATTAATATTTGTTTTATTAATTTTTATTTTGTCATATATGATCGTCAAATATCACGTCCTCAAGTATCGATAGTAATTCACCAGTCACCCTGTATAGATCTCATAAAACTCATGTTGTATTCAGTATATATATTTCGTATGGAAGTAATGAAAGAATATACCTTGAAGCGACTTGTAATATATCATGCCTTTTACTATATAAAGCTTCAATTAAGTACAATAATATTTTTATCACAGTATATATCCATTAAAGCAGGATACTTCTTCATGTAAGGAGGTTAAATGACAAAAAGGTTTTATAGGTTAATAAAATTCGCTTAATTTTATAATTTAATCTACTGAATAAGGAATGTTACTTTGTGATTAATTGCATACGGCACCATAGTGTTATTATGCAGGAGAAAAAAAGATGAATAATGTCTATATATGTTTGTTTTGTGAATATCTTTTATATATTAGTCATTGTAGATGCAATGAAAATTTATATACATATATGACATAGGATAAAACTAAAATTTGGAATCATTAGTATTATTAATACCAAGATATAATATAAAACAATTGAAAACATCTTTTACATAGAAATTATTCACATTACAACACAAAAGCCTTAACAAATTAAACAATATTCCTACCATATTAATAAGTTTCAATCAAAACTATATAATTTTTTATACATACATATAGTTACTATGTAGCAAGTTGAGTTGATACACTAATTAAATAGATAAGACGCTGTAATAAATATCAGGGGGATATAATTACAGGCAGTGGAAGGAGAGCTGGTGACTTAATAATGGATGGCAATTTTGTTATTACTTTTAAGGAAAAACTGAGTGAAGCTTTAACCAGTAGTTATACTGGTACATTATTGATTAAGTATTTTAGAAGGGAACGATACTACTCCGTACATTAACAAAAGTTTTGTTTGTTTTTTTCGTAAATATACCTCAGATGGCAATATCTGTATAAGAGTATTATTTAAATTATTTTGTATATATTTTAACAACAAATATAATATATAGCAATGATCTTCATAATATTAAAAAAAAGTATACTCTCATACATTAAGACATTCCTTTTTCTTCAAACGACATTTCTTTTAAATTTAATAAATGAAATTAATAATTTTCTTACAAACAACTTTAATTTCTAACACAAACACATAGAACTTAAATTACATAGATAAGCTCTGTTAATTGTGAGCCAGTTTGTTTATCATTTTGAATGTTTGTGTATGTCACTGTCACCTTAGATCATCGACTCACAAACATAAAAAATACAAATGTACCTATGAAATCTTAATTATTCCTAGTAATATTATAAATACGAAAATTTGTGATGATGCCTATGTGTTTAAATGGTTGTTCATCTTTCGCACAAAACATGCAAAACGAATTTCGATAAAACTTTAAACAAATACCAATTATTTATATGAAACTAATATTTTACAGATTATACTACATGTTTTTATGTCAAAAATTACATATTTCCGACGTTTCGGCTACTTTTCAGCAACCGTGATCATGGGCATATATCACTTATACATGGGAAAGGACATAGCATATAATTTGAACCAGATTTCCAAACAGTACCTTTGGGATCATAACATAATATTTTATTAGGTGGTAGAGCCTAGCTGCAGTCAGTTACTACAACTCGAACATGGGCTGGCTCGATTGGGGAAGTACCACCCTCTCACAGAAGATCGGTGTGAAGTAGCCTTTAATGGCTGTGTTTCGTCCGATGAGTGAGAGAGCCGGTTGCCCTTACCGTATTCCCACCATTTCCAACCATTTCCTTATTCCCATCTCTCCCTATCCCTAAAATACAAGGTTGGCAACACATCCGCAACAAAGATTTTGCGGATGTTCATAGGCGATGGTAACCACCTTCCATCAAGTGGGCCGTCTGCTCGTTTGCCACCTTTTACATAAAAAAATAATAATAATAATTGTTTGTAATATGAAGTTACAATATACATATTGTAGAAGTTGTCAGTTTGTTTTCAATTACAATTGAAAAATTTCTCTCCCAACCAGACTCTTAAAGTCTAAGAGGAAAAAGTTGTTGGCAAAAACTAGTGTATATGTAAAAAATATACAGATAATGCTAAGGGTTTAGTTTAAGCCTTATGACACCTTTCATTCACCTTATGACACACCTTTCATTCTTTATGTTTTACTGGTGACCTCTTGAAATCTTAAATAGTACACGGTACAACACTGGAATGGTTTACCAGAACTCATCATTCCCCCAAAAAACTCATCTTCAAGAGATTTTTAATGAATGATTTGTTGGAACAATGCCAAACTGTTTGAGGATATTTTATTATCTCATTTATTTTCTCTTTTGACTTTATATTAATATTTAGATATGATCTGTATGTTATATGTATATCATAAAGGGATATTTCAATAAATATATAATTTTATATATTTAGAACTATTTTCCTTCAAGTGGACTGGTAAATAATGCTTTTTTTGAGCAGTAAGTAAATAAATAAATGTGAATTTTACATAACACTTTCAGAAGACATTACAAGATAAATTGGAAAAATATTTCACTGCAAAAATATAATGTCCAACTTCAAAAGAAATAATTTTTAATGTAAATCAATTTGTCATTAGATTTGTTTAAGCTCTACCATCTGATGTAGTATGGTTTTTAAATAATAAAAATCAATGATATTATACTTCAAATTTATTGACAGGAATATTAAAATGTTAAAAAATTAACTGAGCACAAATCAAAGATGTAGTTAAGTTGATTAGAGGTCATGGTAAGTTTTTAATCCCTACTAATATTATAAATGCGAAAGTAACTCTGTCTGTCTGTCTGTCTGTCTGCTACGCTTTCACGCCTAAACCACTGAACTGATTTTAATGAAATTCGGTACAGAGATAGAGTTGACCTTGAGAAAGAACATAGGATAGTTTTTATCCCAGACTTTTGAAAGGTTCTCTTGGAAACGCGATATAACCGAACTCCACGCGGCGAAGCTGCGGGCGGAAAGCTAGTTACTTATAAATTGAAGATATAAAAGTACCTAGTATCAATCAGTGTCTGGATTGAACTGATTTTAAATAGTAAATAAGAAAAATATTGCAAAAACTTTTCTAAGTAAATAAGCTGCCATAATAAAATACACATAAGCTTATTATTCAAATAATAAAGAACAAATCATTTGAACTTTAACTTTATCCTCATATAAGAGAATAGTATCTTTTCAATTGCAATTATCTCAAATACACTTTACACACACTCATTAATACACCCTTAGCAACAAAACCCATAATAATACATATATATATATATATTATTAATTAATAATTATCTAATTGTAACATAATTCCATTTAAAGTAATGCAATTAGCTAAAAGAAATACATGCACCGTACGACCCAGATATAGTTTCATTGAGGCTAATGTATAATATTAACTTGAGAGAAATATATTACATAACTGTATAGATCATGTCAATAACAGGTGCGGAGGTCAAGAGATGAATATTAGTTAATGATGGGGAGTTTAAACTGATTTAATATAGAAATATCTTTTGTTTTATTCTATATATAACAAATTCAAGTATCATAATTAGATTCATCATCATCATCGTCAGCCTATCAGTGCCCACTGCTCAACAAAGGCCTCTTCTCACATTGTATTTAATTAGATTAAGTTAATTTAAATTCAAATTAGTCATAATTATATATAAGGTTAGACTGAGTCTAGATCAAGGTTTTAATTATTTTAGTCTATGCAGAATTCCTTATAAATTATTCAGCATGTAGCCAAATAATCATAAGAGCAGGAGTTACTTAGAATTACAATTTTATAATTGTAAATAAGATACAAAAATCATTCAAATTAATATGGTTTTTGACTAAAATGAGTTATTGGAAGAATATCATAAGCAGCAGTCACTATTATACATTCTGGGTGAAGAGAATTTGCATCATAATTCATATATTAGATACAAATAACCTATATATAAGTTTAAAATGAAATAAAGTCTGATGTCATAAAAGTAGTGAACATATACAAATATACACCATATACTACTATATTGTACGTTTTTTATTATATATGAACAAAAGTAAATATTGTCATAGCATGAATAATTATTTGTCATCCTGTCTACATCATTATGTCAAGAATCTTATTGCAACAAACCAATTATAGAAACAGCCTGCTGTGACCTCAAAAACTACCATAACAATACATTATTACTATTCTATATTTATTGTAGGACATTACTTATGATCTAAAGTATGCTACATCATGACTATGACAAATCACTTTCAGACAGCTAACATTTAAAATGCTTCTGACAACTGAAACCTATGACTGCATCAAACAATATAGTCCAAGAAATTAAGATTAATTTAACAAATAACAGGTATAGCAGTGGGATTTTGGATAATAATGACGGCGAATCGTAATAAAATGTTTTTTTAAGCATAACCTACAAAATACGAGAATAATATAATAAGAATACTGTTATAATAGTCCCACTTACCGACTGCGGCGAATTCGTCTGGGGTTCTTCCACCCGCTAATAGCCAGCGACACCAGTCTATTGTCTCCCACTCATCTATGGCCTTGCTGGGGTTGAGCAACACATCTAGAAGTGGACCTAAGTGCTGCGGCGAACCGCTAGCGCAGTCCGCATGGATGTAAGCAGCTGCACCCCTCTTTCCCTTCTTCATTAACACTTGGGCAGTTGAATTAGACATTTTTACACATTTATCACTAGTTACACCGATAAGCAAATCATACACATAAGTCACTGTATATTTCGGTCACTCACGGAAGAAACACCATTACCAGTTTTACATAAGGCAATGAACTGCGGTCCGTAACGCATCCGCGGTTAAACATCGTGCTAACGGGTCGCTAACACATGATAGTCTACAAAACCTTGTCGTAAAGCACTTTAAGAAACAATAATTTGGATTTTTTTAGAAAATAACAATAAATTAAATTATTTCGCAGTTGAAAATAATAATAGAGTAATGCAGAAACAACTCGGCCATTCGAATGGGTTGCTATAGAAATAAATAAGAAATTGGAAATTGTTGCCTTAAAGAAAAAACTTTACAAATGTATGAATATTATTGATTAGATGAAAATATATTTTATATTTATCCGACAAATTTACCAAAGGTAGTTAATCCCCTTATTTCAAACAATAATGGTTTAACCTGAAGATTAGCAGTGTTTGTTTCAATTTTTAATTCGGTTATTTAAAAAATATCTTTTATTGTGAATTTAGGCGCGTCGTCATTTTATCCTAATAGTATTCAAATAAAATTAAAATCACTAATGAAAAGTTTCAAGATGGGGATTAAACACAAAGGTGTAATAAAATGAAATCATGAAACAATTATTTGAAAAAATTAATAATTGTTGTTGTATTTAAAGTAAAATTGTATCATCCCAATAAAAAAAATTCATATTCCTATAAAGAATTCAGTCAAAATCGTTTATTAAGCTAAAAGTAACTTGAAATAAAAGAAATTATATTTTTCTTAAATCTTTTACTTCTGGTTAATAATATTGGTAAGCCAACGTGACTTTTTATTGAATTTTGATTTGCGATTTTAACTTATAGAGTATTAATAATTGTTTTGTTATTCAAGTATTTTTCATTGTTAAAATATTTTCCATTAAATAAAACTTGATTTATTCCCCACAGAGTACATTTCATAGCGGAGTTATAAATATTGTACATATTCTGTGATGTGTCAATTTGTTTGATAAACGATAGAAACCTGCGAAGTGCGAGTTACTGTTACTGCGTATTTCGTGCTTGAGTAGATATTTTTTTAATAATCCATATTTAACTAGTAAACATATATATTAATACTACAGGTATAAAGTTTAGTTATTTTCAAACGATTCAAGTTGTTTTAAGCAGACATGAGTGAAGAAAAAAAGGTTATGTTCCATGAAATGGAACTTGATGATCGATTATTAAAGGTAAGTTTTATAGGTAACTAAAGTTATCTCATGTAAATGACTGAATTATATCGAAATTGATATATATTATTATAATTTAATATATATTGAATATCTTTATAATAGTATAGACGCAACATAAACACCATGCCAGTTGACAGGCTTACCATGTGCTTCGGTTATGAAACATATTTCTTACATTTATTTCTCTTGTTAATCAATAAACCACGTTTTTTATGTAGTGATAAAAAACATGGTTTTTAACTGGAATGATATTTATTTCCATCACCATTATTTTGAACTTTTAGTCAATAACGCAAAACCAAAAAGTTATGATGATGATAACTTAAATGATCATAAATGTGAATTGCAAGGTAAATAGCTAGGAAGGATCAGAGACGCGGCAGCTTTTTATTATGAATAAGCCATAATATTCTCAGAAATAAAAAAATAGTTTAGAGAAAATATCTACAATATGTGTTAATCCATTTTATGTTCTTAGTATTTTCAAATGGTTATTATTTTCAAGCTTAGTTGTTTGCAACATAAAAACCTCAAAGACCTCTGCAACTAAACCCATACCATAGATTGCATTGATAAATTAGCATTTTTAAATCTTAGTAATAGTAATAAAATTATATCATAAAAACCTATGTAAGATATAATTTTGTTTGTATATTGTTTGGGCTCTAATTATAGAGATTATATTTTCAGTTATTTCCAGGCTATATCTCAGTTGGGATGGCCTCACCCAACACTGATCCAAGAAACGGCAATCCCATTGTTATTAGAGGGCAAAGATGTACTCATGAGAGCCAGGACAGGTTCGGGCAAGACAGCAGCATTCACAATACCTGTAATACAAAAGATATTGAATCTTAAAAATACCAGCACACACCAATGTATACGAGCCCTTATATTATCTCCAAGTAAAGAGCTGTGCGGACAGGTGAGGAAACAAAACTATATACCTAACTATCTAGAATTACACTTAGGGAAGACAATTTTTAATACTGTGTTAGAAAATAACATAAAAACATTCTAAGATAGGAATTTTTAGTAATGATATGAAGATTATTTTCATTTAATGGGACTAAATGTACTATTTGATTCCAGATAACTTCTGTGGTTGGTCATTTAACACTGAAATGTGCAAGAGAAGTTCGTTGTATAGACATTTCATCCAACGGTGACATGCAAATACAGAAGTCTTTACTCGCTGACAAACCTGATATAGTAGTGTCAACACCATCACGAGTATTGGCCCACTTGAAGGCCAATAATGTAAGGTTGAAGGAAGACATAGCGATGTTGGTAGTGGATGAAGCAGATTTGGTGTTCTCATTTGGTTATGAAAACGAAATTAAGGAACTTCTTGAGTAAATATATTGCTACATACTTTCATTTATGCTATATTATATAGAACTTATAAATAATTCGTAAATTTATTACAGACATTTACCGAAGATATTTCAAGCTGTTCTAGCATCGGCAACACTTTCCGATGATGTTTTAAGTCTCAAAAAGATAGTGCTCAGAAATCCAGTGACTTTAAAGCTTGAAGAACCCGAGCTGGCGCCGTCATCACAATTAAAACATTATCATTTGTTTGCCGAAGAAGATGATAAAGCAGCCATACTGTATGCATTGCTGAAGTTAAATCTCATCAGAGGAAAAACCATCATATTTGTGAGGACAGTTGACCGATGTTATAAGTAAGTTTATAGTATTAATAACATGGCAATCTTAAGAGAAAATGTTACTGAATTTTTAGTCCTAAATCAGCCTTTCCCAAAGTGGTTGATAACATACCCTTAAGGGCGCTACAAGCCTAGAGAGGGGTGGTGAGACACCCAGAAAATATAGTATTGATGTGTGGTAGTCTGTGGTTGTTTTGTAATTCATTAAGTTAGTAAAAGTAACAGTAGTGTTTCAGTAGTTAAAAAAAATAAGTATGCTAAAAAATTATTTATTCACAAAGTGGGCAGTAAACAAAATAAGTTTGGGATCCCCTGTTCTAAACCCTATATATTAGAACTCTAATTACTGACTACCCTCACTGATTGTTACAGATTAAAGTTATACTTGGAGCAGTTTAAAATCGGCTCATGTGTACTGAACTCTGAGTTGCCGGCTGCTGTGAGATGTATGTCTGTGGAGCAGTTTAACAGAGGTCGCTACCAGATCATCGTGGCCTCTGATGAGAAGGCCTTAGAGGAACCCGATGGAGGCATGATGCTGGAAGAAACAGGCAAGAAGAAGGTTGGTCGCACTATATAAGAAATAATGACTTGATATGTTACAATATTCAATATTCTTAATAATTAATTATGCATATCTAGTAGAGTCAAAGAGTCAAATATCTTCAAAGAAACAAACTGAAATCACAATAATACATAATATATAGTTGCATAAATAGTAGATGAAGTAATTTAATATAATTTTCAGCAAAAATCTAAACGTAGAAAGGACAAGGAGTCGGGAGTGTCTCGTGGTATTGACTTCCAACATGTGTCTAACGTTATAAACTTCGACTTCCCGCTGGATGTGACGGCCTATGTTCATAGAGCGGGCCGGACCGCGAGAGGGACCAGTCAGGTGACTATACAGTACTTCTTCTACCTGACAATTTCCCAGCTTTAGCCAGGGTCTGCCTTACATGTTGTGAATAGTTTTGGCTAATTGTTTTTACGATCGGCCGCCTGCCTGACATCAACCCTCTTTGGAAATACAGTACTGTATAGTAACAATACTGATTTAATAAGTATGACATGTATATAACTATATTTTGTTCCAGGGCTCCGTGTTGTCGTTTGTGTCGATTCGAGAGAAACCCCTAATGAACGCTGTGAAAGAACATCTAACTAAATGTTTCAATGGACAGAAAGTTTTACAGTAAGTTGACGCATGTGTTGATACACTTTATATATTTATCATCTTAAGATACATATATGTTTATACAAATTTGCACAAAAGGCGGGATAATAATGAGATACACTCTCTACAACTAGACCTTAGGGAATATATTAGAAAAACAGATTATTTACATCCATTTATTATCACCAGAACTAAGTTTTATGAATAATTTGTATTACAAAACGTAAAAATGTTGTTTCAATTCAGTAACATCTGTTTCTTCCAGGAAGTATTCTTTCGCGTTGGACGAAGTGGAAGGTTTCCGGTATCGTTCCCGGGACGCGTGGCGCGCGGTCACCCGGGTGGCCGTCAGGGAGGCCCGGCTGAGTGAGATCAGGAGGGAGCTGCTCAACTGTAAGAGGCTACAGGTACTGACATACACACGACTACTATACTCACTACAATATGCACTATACAACGTGTAACGTAATTAACGCACACCCTCAAATACCCCAATGCGTATATAATGATATAAACGCAATGCATACACCAAATATTATTTATATGTGCGTTTGAATTTTTTATTTGTGAAATTAGTTATCCCAATTTCGTGCAAATAATATGGTCCGCTATTCAGCGACACTCTGTACTCCCCGCGCCCGCGCCCCTCTCTCCGAGTGCCGTCCGACAATAATAAGAAGTAGGTAACAATAAGTACACGAAATAACTACATACATTATGATTTTTCTTTCCATCACACTTTTCAAGCTTTAGATTGTTGACATTGAATTTTCTTTTTAATGTGAAGCCAATATTTTATAATTACTGATTTGTTAAATTAAATTTGTAAATAAGAATTATTAAACAGCTGATAACGCGTGATTTGAATAGACACCACAATACCTAAGACAAAGTTAAACACAGTCGGCCTGTTTAAATGGTGTGTATCAAAATATTTACAATAATTTAAAGATCATAAACAAACTTACAGTTTAATTTGCACTCGCACAGCGTTGTCGTTTTAAAACATTTTCAAAATGTCCACCGCCTTGTTCAATGCACTTTAATGACCGTTTTCGCAATTGTGGTTTTATTTTAGATAATACTGCAATGTCACTTTTCACTTTTACAGAAGCGGTTATTATCTTATTTTTTACTTTTACTTGTTATCTCTGTGTTATAAACTAGCGATTTAATTCGCCCCCACAAAAAAAGTCGAGTCGCGTTAAATCAGCTGATCTAGGAGGTCAATGGACACGTGCGTAGGTACTTGATGTATTGAATGTTAGTGTACCGAAACGACACAGCGAAATGCGCGACTAAGATTTTATTTGCACTTTACACTTGACCTCTTTTCGATAAGGTGGACGCGGCGTAACTAACCCAAAACACATTTTGTTGACTTCGATGTTTAGTTATTATTACTCTGATTCCCGGAATTATGCCTGCCGTCTCGCTCTATTGTAATGTTATTAAGCCGAAGAAAGAAGGAGAAAGTAATAATTTTTGTATTACGCGGCTTTCTTTTATGCACTGTAGTGACCTTGCTGTGTGCCGGTTGTCGCTATGGTGTTGCGTGCGTAGTTATTATTAAATACTATTTTAGCCTTGAAATAAGTATCAGTTTTCTTTAATTGAATGATGATTACTAATTAAATATTTCATTTTAAAAATCTTAATACCCTGACTTACGATCCATTTTCGTTTCTATGAAGTGTTTAGATAACTGTGTGTAGGGTGACTATAATTTACTTAGTTCTATCTAAATTTGAGAAAAAAAATTACCTACATAAAAAACTATCAAAATCGATCCAGTATCCGATTCTGATCAAACTACTTTCAGAGTGTGCGTTAATTATGTTACACGTTGTATATGATGAACACGATCCAACATAATACATTGATGAACGACTAATCTTCTCTCTGAACGAATTCATATCATTGACTACACTATCAATTATCTTCGAGATGTTAATAAACCTATTCACACAGGGCTACTTCGAGGAGAACCCCACAGACCTGGCCGCCCTGAAGCGTGATAAGGCCCTTCACACCGTCCGCCTCCAGCCGCAGCTGGCCCACGTGCCGGAGTACCTGCTGCCCGCGGCGCTGAGGACGGACGGACCAGAACCCGAGCCGACGACAGACGCGCCGCCCGCTAAGAAAAAGAAGCAGCAGAACTACGGCAGTGTGAAGAGACATAAGTACCAAGTGAGGATACACTAACAATAAAATTATATAGAACATTCTAGTAGTTCTCATATAAAATATACTTGTGGTGTGTAAATTTTGGCAATAGACTAGTATTACTATATTGTTTACATATGACATTGTTCTCAGGCCCGTCAGCGAGATCCCCTCAAGAGCTTCGAGGTGAAGAGTGTGAGCGCGTCGTCGAAGACTTAGCCCCTGTTAGTATGAAGATGCCGTGTCCGTTAATATACAATGTATTTTATATGTTACTGAATAAATCATGTCTGACGGTGTGTTTTGTTTACACAGCCCGAGGCCGCGGTCGCTAGTGCCGGTAGACTTGGTTAGTACTTTAAGAACGACCTGTTTTTATACATCGTCCAAACAAAATATATGTTTCATTTATCAACCTTTTCTTTTATTGTATATTTGGAGAGATTTTATAATTCCTTCGTAATTATGTTTTTTTTCTTTGAAAGAAATCTAAGATATATGAGTTCTGAGTCTGGGAGTGCGTGCTTAAAAATTTAACTTGGTTTTCATAATTACAAACTGCTACCTGGTGTGTATAAAGGAACACATAGTATGGCATAGTAGTACATTTGCTATAAATGTACTTGCTTACCTTAACAGCATATAATTGACTAAAAAACTTGAATATGGGTCTGAAAGATTAAAAAAAGTGAACACAGCTGTTTACTTGTACTGAGTAGAGTGCCGATTCTACCTACACATACTAAAATAATATGTTAAGGAACCATCGGAATAACAAAGGCTTTACTTTATTACACATATAATCGGGTTTGTAGAATAATATAACAAAAAAAAATCTTTTTCCCTGCAATAAAAACTATAACAAATGTAACGTTAAAAAATGTCCAATTTAATAGAAATGTAATTTCCCAGCTTTATATGCCTCTGTATTTGTACAATAAAGTATATTTATCTTATTTGATAGCTTTTAAAATGGTTTGAGAGTGGCTTGGTTTTGTGATTTCGAATATTTAAAAATTCCAAATAATTTTATTAAAACTTAGTGTGGAATTATTTGTTTAAACGAGATTGAATAGTGTAAATCAGTGATATATCTTACATAGTGTAAAACTGTTTTTCTCTAAGTTAGAGAACTCTTCTAATTTTTATTATTAGTTAGTGTCTAATGAAAGGACTGCGCAGAACGCTAGTCCTAACTACCAAAAATTACACGCACGACGTATCCCAGTTTGGGATAGTCACAGACTGGCCTGTCCCGGCCGCGGTGCAATGACCGGAGCCAGCCCGGGGTAACCGCCTTCGTGATCACGGTAATCCCTGCGCAAGGTTAGTATGACCTGACATAACTCACATGGACATATATACAGACCAAAAGAAATCTTAACACCGCGATCTAATTAATGTATCAGTGACATCTGTTATCGAAACGCGAAATTAATATGACGTACGGGTTACGTTCTGAAAAGAGGTTTCCTAGATGAGGTTGTAGTTGTAAAATAAAAATATTTCATTTTGGCCTAAACTTGATAAATATATTTCATTGTAATTTTTTAGTTTAAATATAAATATAATAGAGAAAAACACTAAGTGTATAAGAATTGATATATTAAAAATTTTAAATTGTCCATAGATTATACAGATTTGGAATATCGTCTTTTTCTCGGCGGCTCTTTGATGATAGTTTTGGAGTCACTGAACGCTTTTCTCAATGTGAGCGCTCGTTGTTGAACTGTCGTGGTGGGTGGTTCTAAAGACGAGAAGGGTCGGTTGAGGTAGTACCCGTACGCACCCATCTCGCGACGTTGCCACGGACTTGTAGTTATCCTGGAATAAATCGATTTTGTTTGTAAAATACGATAAATTAAGCTTCATTCGTTGTGTTGCGGGTCAAATAAGTGAATAGTAGTAATAGGCTTTTACATATGGGTACATTGTAATAGAATATACACAATTTCTTGAATTAGAGATTTTGTTTTGTCTGAAATATAATTGTTGATATTTGCATATCATATTGTGAAAATCGATTTTGCAACTATTATTTAATATTTTCATAGCGACGATTAGTTTCCCGTTTTGGTTCGTTGTTAAAGAACATGAAATCTCTACACGAAGAAGAAAAATCAGGGAAAAGTCTTACTAAAAACTTTATAATTCAAAATCTTTTTGATTTTCCTTAAATATATATGAAAAACATTTTTATACAAATGTTTGGAACATCATATAGACGCGGTTCTGATTTCCTCCCCATCAAGATAAAATTTAATAGATTGACTTAGAATTTGTCGCAAATATGGGCAATTTTGTTTCCACACCATATCATGAGTGGTGGCGTCGTATCCTTGTTGGTAGTGTGTGCGAACAGCACGGCCGGCATCACGGACACCATCCATACAGTCCACTGCTGCATCAGGTACTGCTGCTCCAACTCCTCTGATGTCATCACACCCGACTTCTGAAGGAATAATCATGGGTATAGGTTATCAATGAACGAATTCGATATTCTTCCTCAATTCACACAAAATGTAATGTACCGTTTGGTAGCAGTATTCAATGAGCAATTTTATGACGTTGACGACAATCATCCAGAAGTGAATGCTATATATGACCATCCAGATGAACAGAAGTCGCTGTGGAAAATAAACAATACTATAGTCGATTAAGCGTATAATGGCTCCTCAAAGAAACCATCCATAAATAACCAGATCAAATGGGACTGTATAATATGAAAGGTATCCTATTCGTTGTACCTGTAGTATGATCTCCCACAGTGGAATCCGTCGGAACATAAATCTCCTGAAGAGTGCTGATATAAGTCGATGAGCGAGTGCTGCCGAGCCAGCTGTCCATATCACTGTGGGTATCATCGAGATGGAACTGTTACCACACTTGGCGTATTCCAACATCTGGAAATATAATAAAATCCCTCTAAATTACGGTATAAATCTTGATTTTACGTTGGGTTTGAAGATATTTATAAAGCTAAATCTATCACCGGTAATTGATGTGTTAGATTTCTCTTGTGATGTAAAATTTTCTTAATATTTTCTCCCTTATAGTGTCATTTATTACGATTCAGACAAATAGAAGTACTTAACACATTGTTGGTTTATCAGGAACTGTACACTTTAAACATTATAACTGCTAGACAATTTACAAAGCCTATAGGAACTTAGTTCTATAAAACCAGCCTCCTACATTGTCACGCGGTCATGCTTGACAGGTGACACTTATGTATAGCCGGGTAAACATCGCTGAATATGTAATAATGTCTTCGTTAATTGGTTCTGTGGATCTTACATGATCTTATTTTTTTTTGCATATATTATACAGATAGCCGCCTATGTCATCGAAGTTTCGATGGTAGAATTCCTTCTGTGGTACTGAGAATATTCTAACGTTTGTAAACTAATCTATTCTTATTTACCTCGATGCTTTCAGATCTTAAATATCCAAGAACATTTGAATACCACATTTTAATTTTGTTCGTGGGACTTGATATTTATACGAATAATTCATTTAGTGAATTATTTCATGAGTTCATGTTTATTTACTAAACGTTACGTTACCATTTTGAAAGGTTATTTAATGATAACTAAATGTCAACCAATGTTGGTCTGTTCGTGTTTCAGAGAGGTTTCATAAGTATGTCATAGGTTGTATATATAATGAAATCAGAATACAATGATATAATCCTACCTGGGAAGTTTTATTTGTACCATTCGTTTACAAGTACGCTTGCCGCTGAGTCATTTGAACTCAATTTCTTTTAATAAACGAAAGTACCTTCTGTGAGGTCGATTCCCTACATTTCTTACAAGAATAAAGACTTTTGGTATCTGTTTCACTCTTAGTGAGTAGCTTCTCTTAAATGCCAAGCTCGCCAGGGATGGGGGTGATAGAGATAAGAATAAATTTCGTTCAGGATATAGCAAGCATCTTCTACAAAAACCTTTCTAAACGATCTGTTCTTTGAATCTCCTTCTTATGATCCATGTTCTTAATATCTAAGAAGACTTTCCATAATAGACAATATTAAAATACGTAAAGCAAAATCAATTACAGTACCGACAACTAATGAAATGTATAATTTGGTTAATAATAATTTGCTCTCAATAAAATTTCGCCATAAGGTGAATTCACCAAATAAAAGACAACTTCAACGGACATAATTTATTTGTCATCCAACTCTTGACACCACCAGGGCCGGCGATCACTGATCGTTTCCTTTGATGGTAGTGCTAGAAGTACGCTCGCCGGCGTGCGGCGCACTGCTACACGGACATCGGTTTTCCTGATATCATTATGAAGTTCGATTAAATTGGAATAGAAGTTCTATTGCTTTTATGGAAAAATGTTTCCTTATTTTTTAGGTTGACGTAACAAAGCTAATGAATCTTAAAAATATTTTCATCAAGCGTTAAGTAAGAAGGAACACATTTCCATATACAGACCGTAATAAAGGTTCTGAGTTTTTGTATCGCGTCCACCGCGCTGTCACTGGACATGCCGAGAAGGCGAGCACTCTGGGACGTGCCCGAGCATGGCACGCGGCTCGAGTAGCTCTCACTCTAGAGATAGTACATACTACAGAACTAACGAATACGATACTGTACTACACATGTATACATCATTTAATATATTAAGAGAAAGTTGATTTGCCAGAAATGCTTCTTCATGGCCTATTTGGTCTGGTTTTCTGACTTAATCTATTATTTCCTCTATATAAAATATTGCTTTAAGTATATATTTTTTTTTGTTGGCATTCAATAAAGCACATGTTAATATAAGTGCCAACTTCACATTTAACATTACTGTTATTTCACATAACAGTCTGGCTTCTGCTTTTCCATTCTGCTTATTGAACACGATATAGTTTTGGTATGATTTTAAGTTACAAGTTAGAGAGGAACTTAAAAATAACGATTGGTAAAACATATGTACGTATGTGCGTCAGAGGTTAGTGGCGTAGCGGAGTAGCCTCTCAGCCGCTGATGGATGGCTCCCACGAAACTGTTCACTTTCTGCATGGTGGTGTTCACGCCGTGTGAAGCGCGCGCGTGGAGTTCTGTTTGCCTGGAACGATAACATGACCCCACGCTCTAGCCCCATTGAAGACTCAGGGTTGACAAAAAATTCGCTTGTGATAAATACTAAGTAATAAACGGTCTAATTCAGAGTTATCGGCAAAATATAAATATTACATGGCAGTTTCTCTTTAAAGTTTTCATTTTGAACAATGTATAACTCTAAGGTTACGTCAAAATAAGCAGTTCACATTACCAACCACTGTTCCAGATAGGGCATGTTAAATCGTTGACAATAGTGCTTCCTTACGTAGTCGGCGTAGCACAGCGACAGGAACCAGCACACGGTTATATGGATTTGAGGCTGTTGCTGTTTAAGGAAGCGGGTCAGCGGACCCAGGGGAACCATATCCGTCTGACCCAGGAGACTAGCGGTGGTCATCTCTAATAGCATGTTGGGGCTCTGGTTAGGAATTAAATCTGAATTTATTGTTTAATAATCTACATATTTATGAATTCATAAATGTGTCTACTTGACATAAGTGTCAATAAAACATATGTACTTATTTTAGTTAAGCTGCGGAGTTTCTATCTAAACTTTAAATGAAATTGTTTCAAATTAATATGAATTTTAGGTCCCATTCTTGCCGTTATGTAGAATGAGGAAATAGTACGTACATCTTTAATGAGAGTGTCCAGGTAGTACTGAAAGAAGCGCATTGAGCACACCCAGAGGTGTATCATCAGTGCCAGCATTCCGAGCACCATTGTGGACTGGACAAATAATACAAGAAAAATACCATTATATTAATAAACAACGTATTGAAGTATTGAAAATAGACTAAAAGTAGTCAACTGCATAGAAATATTGTACGTGAGCGAAAGAATAAACACTGTATCTGAGTGAAAGGTCGTGGGGTCAAGAACTAGTCATATTATATTGATTATTGTAATTGGTATGCTAAGGATTTTTACGAATTTTTGTGACATTAAAAACCGGTATGAATAAAATCATTCCGTTCGTCAGTCGCAATCATAATAAACAGTAATCTTTCTACTTCATAGTCTAAACCATAATATTTTAAGCACCACTAAAGTTTTCTCGAGCGGCGAAACGTGTGCGTGGTCGCCTGCTATAAAGATGGTCGCCTCCAGCTCGTTGTAGAGGAACAGCGCCGCTGCGCTCGCGAACACCACCGTCGGGCCCATCCCCCACACCTCCCCGTTGCAGCTCAGCCATCGCGCGATGCCTTCTAACTGGGATTCGTATAGATTCTGCAACAAGTTGTGCCTCATCTATCATATACTTAGTCTTAGCTCCGCACGAAGTCCTCAGAAAAACAGCAGGGAATTTTCTTTTGCAGGTCAACAGATAACTGCATTTAGTAATAGTCTGAAAATAAAAGTGCTCGGATACTTGACGCTGCTCTAATGTGGGTTAGCTGGTAACATGTCTACAAACTACAGGTTTTCTAACAACAACTAAACCTGGACAACTGGAAATATTTCATGTGTCTATATTTTTCCTTCTAGAAATATATTAAAGAACCGTCCCACTGTGGCTTGATTTATAATTGCTACGCTATGCAGTTGTCATACAGTAATAGTAGACATTATATTTCGCATGATAAAAGTTCATTAATACTTTAATTCAGTAGTCTTCTGTGTGTGAACATATTCATAGTTTTGATAGTTTCACCATACTTTAAAAGTCGTTGGAGTTCCCTACGTGGGTTCCTCACACAACATTTTACTTACGCAATGTGTATTGAAGCTTACAGTTTTTCCCGCCATGCATACGCTGTTGGCAAAAACCAATTGTTTCCAGTTTTAACATTTTCCCTCCAGTTCCTATTGACTCATCTCGTCAGTCTCACAATTTAACAATTTTGTTTCTTCTCAAAGGTTAATCGTTCATTTTAAATGTTGACATCTGTAAGGTATTGTGTCAAAACGTAAGACAGATCTAGACGGCATTCAATACAAAACTTTTTTTTGAGAATTTGACAATGTTTTATTTTTACGAGAGAAATTAGCTAAATGAATAAAATCTTAATAATTTAATAATTTGATCATGAAAACTTGTATGCTTTAATTCCATGAAGATATTCAAGTAAAACCGGTCTATCTTCAGGTGGTCTTTATTTTATTTGCTCAAAAATTCGGAATACCACTAACATAAGAAGAAAACTTAATGAGTAGCCCTCACGATACTACTGGCACGCTAAGCTTAATGTTTGAGTATCATCCATATAATTTAGACATATTTTCTTAAATATATTCAAAAACGTTCCATTCATTACTTTTTCCTATTAATTTTTGACGAAATGTGGTTTGTACGGGCAGATAGTTTCTTAAATAAATAGGATGAATAAAAGATGATATTGTGAACAAATGTTCAGATGGACCTGCAATGGCTGACACAGGCCGCATCTACTCATTTGCGATTTATTTCATATAACATTACAGGTACAAGACAACTACAAAACAAACACGCAACTACTATATACTATAAACATTTTATATAGAATCTTAAAGCAGATTAATAGATAATAATAATATATATTTCACGAAGGATACATAAAGTAACGACATACATTATTCACCATGTGGGTACATGAACTACGGTTTTTTCTTAATATTTTCTATAAAAACACTTAGTATCTTTAAGTATGAATTACATTTAATGATTATATTTTGTGGATATGACGTCACTAAATAGATAGCACTACAATATACGTGTTTTATATGATAGCAAATATTATATTAATTCCCAATATTGAGAGATTACAAGAAACATTTAAGTGCCTAAAATATATCTATAAAGGTTTTTTCTACTATAAATACCAACTAGTATTTCATATATTAGTAATACAATACATAACAACATTTGTAATAGTTGATAAAATGCTTCTACCAGTATTTAATTATCGCCTTCATAAAATTCCAACATCTATATCAATGGGTATATTACATGAAGAATAATTAAAATGTACGTCACTAAAAGCACTATATATTTGTATTTACAAAGGTATCGATATATCTGCATTCATTGCCCTGGAATGTAGATGTATCGACAAAATATCTAATTTCTCTACCAAAAAAATCCTCTAATGCTGTTTAATATCTAAATACTATATCTACCAAACGCGTAAGAATCTTTAAGCAATTATAGTCTGACCAGCAATTACTTTATGTACATATATAGCTAACTATTTATATACAGCATTCGTTGTTTCTCTAGAACATATTAAAGTTTTTCACCTATGCTTCAACTAACAACTAGGGGTACGCGCTTCTCCAAGAATTTTCCAATTCCTGTTATCTAGTACTCCAAAAAACTTCTACAATACTTTTTACTTCTTTAACCCATTTCCGACCCTTCCGACTCTTATAACTATAGAGTAATATCCATATAAGTATATGTTGATTAAATGTATCTATATATGTCCTAAAAATACTGCAATGTAAAATATTAATCACTACACTAAGTTGCTTCCAAACTACTTTTCTTTGTTATATATACTTTCTCTACTGAATATATTATTTTCTACTTATTGAACGATGTAAATATTGGTCCTAATTCCTATCGAAAAAGTATGTTCTAGAAGTATCTAGAAGTGTATCTGGCTATACGAGCCACTCGATGGTAGGCGGGTGCGGTCACAGGCCACTCGGCGCTGGAACTGGTACCGTGGATTCCACCGGGCGTTTCATTGTCCTTATACGCTGTCACAACAAAAATTATAATTATTAAAGAACAATAGTACAAAGAGTCCCTTCATTCTAGTTTTGATATTAGGTAATGTCATAAGTGTTTATGTAACTCTTGGGTTATTTCGAGCAATATTGTGTCATCAAAAGGCTAGCCTCTCTACGTTGAAAGTTTTTTTGCAATAAAAATTTGCCAACCTGACCAACAATCAAATGTCTTTGCCTTAGAGTCAACAATTAGTTAGGTTAGGGATAAGTCTGAATTCAAGAGTATTTAACAGCCTTAAAAAGGTTTATTCATTCCTTAGCTTATCCCGAGACTCGAGATGGTAGAAGATCTAAATATAAATAGGTTTATAATAGTATACATACAGTGAGGAAGCTGCCAGGTGTGATGATGAACTTGTAGATGATGTAAAGTGGGATGCAGGAGACAGTGGTGGCGGTCATGGCCCAGCCGGCGCGGATGGACCAGCGAGGGTACTCATACTCTCCACCCAGCATCTCCTCGTGCGACAGCACCGAGAAGATAAACAGCACCAGCAGGAACACAGGGCTAAGGAAGAGTATTAGATAGTATAATAAAACTAATAATTTTTCGAATGATATTTGAAATAATAAAATCGCCAATTAAATCCCAAAAACATGGTTTTATTTAAATCTGTACAAACGAAAGTCTTGAATGTAACATCGTTGGACACCTGTGTTTTTATAATAGGCTCATTGTCACTAATTACATATATTTCATTGTTAAAAAGCAATATTTATAAAATGGGTAGTCAAATTCAAAAAGATCTTTTTTTGATATGCTATTTAAGTAATTTACGAATTGTTGTGAAATATAATTAATAGAATATAGCAATAAAAAATCATAACTTTCTATTTTCATGTTGTCTTGAGTTTCTTGTAGCATTAAACATACAAAAACTTTTGAAATTGTATCTTGCAAATTATAAAGTCTTAAGTATATTTTCGAAGCTCATCCACTAGCAGCAATAGAGCTTTATCAATGTTTCATTTAAGTTTATAAAAAATTCATGTTATTTATAACGTTTCTGATTTTTTTGTGGATAAAAGTAGGTAATTTTTGAAACCAAGGTTTTAAGGCAAAATTCAAACGACTCGTACCTAATCATAGACAAAAATGCCTAAAGTCAATGAAAATAATGATAACTTCGTTTAATGTTTTCATATGATAAGATCACCTGATGTAAGACCAGCAGGTTCTCCAGAACCATCCAGGTTTGTGTCCTAGCATGGTCCTCACATCCTCTGAGAACCGTCCCACACCATACACCCAGCACACGCCAGCAGCCTCCGCGAACACCACGAACAGGATCGCCAGACCAGGTCCATACACGTTCAATAAATCCACCAGATACACACCACCCTAAACAATAATCAGAACTTACATCAATTCATTCTTGGAACGTACTTCGAAGCCAGCCCTAGTAGATTCTTTTCAATTTTGGTTAGGTAAAGAGAGGAGCTTGGACGGTGAAGGTGAGCGCTTAGCGCGTGTTAGATGGGGGCCCCTTAAACCTACACCTGGGTCGCAAGTGACAGGCACTGTTGAAGCTCCTCTCCGTGCAATGGACCCAATGCACGGTGAATCCATTGAATGCTAAGAAGTTTCGTCTATGTTAAGATGACTAACGAATAAATAAATAAATAATTTAAAGTCTTCATTCGCTTCTCTTAGGAAAACAAAACGGTTTAAGATTAAAAATCTTTTATGATTTGTACTCGTTAGTACTCTTACGATGTTGAAAGTGACGTGAGAATAAAAGGGTAATTGTAAAATCAAAAACTTTATCATAAACTGAAACTAATATTTTTCAGATTACTACGCTTATTTTCTTATTTCGTTTTCGGTTTTCATTTTTAGTAACCGTGATCGCGGGCAGACACATCATCAGATCGTTTTTCCGTGATCGTAAAAATATTAGTTTCATTTGATACTAAATAATGATAAATGAATACTCGCGAAAGTCTTCTATCTCATTAATCATAAAAATATTTAAAAGTTATGTTAAAACTCAAAGATTGTTAAAATTTATATTTATTGGAATTTACTTATATTTAAATCATTTGTTCCGGAAAGACTTTTCTAATTTTAACTAATGTAAAAGATAAACACAGGTAAAGCAACTAGGTATGAAATCGAACGTTTTATTCATTTGTTTTCGTTACATACGATTTAATTCTTTTTGTGTCTTATATAATAAAAGGTATAATTATAGATTAAGAATTTATTTTGCATTATCTACTGCTTCTATGGTCATTTGAGATGTAAAATAGCTTTACACATGACCAGAACGTCATCTAGAGAAGTGTCCCAATAAATAGAGGCCAAGTAAAACAAAGCTCCTACTATATGCGGTATCTCGTTCGCCAGGTCATTCCCCTAAGTGGCGTTGAATAATGCAGCTGAATACATTTGCACCCAGATAAATGTTATTTATCTGATACATTTAATACTCCGAGTTACTGGGATCTCGATGTTTAATTTAGAAGTGACTCGAGTTTGTTTTATAAATTAACTTCATGTAACGAAATATACATTACTATTATAACGCATTATACATAATATATATCGGCTTTTAAATGTTAATTATCATGAGCCTAAACATATGTTCATTGTTTAAATTCATGACGATACTGAACAAATCGATATACTCTATCTAGATCGGCAAACTATGATTTCTTGAAATAATTTTATTCCTAAAAGAAAATAATACTTAGAGCAAAAATAAATTTGATTTATTTGATATTACATTTAACCCTCTAACGTGACTTGACAGCCTTTTAAGTATTGAGACTGTAAGAAAAACCATTAATTTTTTTTAAAGTAATGACAGTGAAAGATCTGAATTTTAACAAATATTTTTGTATCTTTATATCATTTTAAAGAGGGCATTAAGTAAGCAAACATTAATATTATTATTACATTTATTATTAAGAAAATCTTTATCACGGCTTCTCAATGAAAAAAACAGAATAAAAAATAATTTTGTCCCTTTTCGTTTTGTGTAAAGGATTTTAATTCATAATTTATAAATATATTTTTACTCACATATGTTGTGGTGGGCAGAGCGCATATGTATATAAAGAGCAACAGAAAAGCCACAAAGACTTCGCGGTGTCGTCCGAGAGCGCGGGGATACTCGTCACATAGAGCTGTAGTGACTGCCTCTAGACCTGTTAAATATTACGTAATTACATTGTGATAATATAAAAAAATGATTTCCACAAAAATCGTACTTCTTTCGAATGAAAATATCCAAGTGTGCTTATAAATATTTTATATTGATCCTGTACTTTCTACGCTTCAGATTATATAAGTCTGTAAGTGCGATTTTAGACATGTTATTAGTTACAATAAATTACAATGACGAAAAAGTTACAATAACGAAATTGCCTAGGTATATCATTTGAAGGCATGCATGCAAGACATTAATTGTTACTGATCAAACTAAAATATCAAATGACCTCCAAAAGTGCTGTCTAATCCAAGTGTGATGAGCATGAGGAAGAAGATGATGGCCCAGAAGACTGAGCCGGTCATAGTAGCGATGGCCTCCGGGTACACGATGAACACTAGCCCCGGACCTTCCAGACCTACCTCCTCGATGCTCTTGTTCTGAACGTGGGCCATGTAGCTGCGTTTTTAGGATAATTATTTTATTATTGTATAGAATACAAGTGTTATAATCATCAAGAATATGTGTAAAGACAAGGAAGAACAAACAAAACTTCTTATTTATTTTTAACTTATGTGTAAATGAGAGTTATATTTAAATTTACCCTAAAACCGAGAATATAACGAATCCAGCGAGGAAGCTGGTGAGGCAGTTGATGGAGGAGGTGATGATAGCGTCGCGGTAGCAGTTGTTGTTAAACTTGTTGTAGCTGGACAGAGCCAGAAGTGTGCCAAAGCCCGGACCCAGAGAGAAGAATATTTGTGAGGCCGCATCCACCCACACCTAGATTGTAACGTAATTGATATATATATATATAGTAATTTTGATCAAAATATTTGAATTAGTTATTGATTAGTCGTCTTCAACTAGTGTTGGTAGCAATAGAATATAGTTCTATACCTTTGTATTCTGTAGCTTATGCCACTCGGGTGTTAAATAGTATCGAATGCCTTCAGTGGCACCGGGAAGTGTGACGCCTCTTGCCAATAATATCAGCAGCACAACATACGGAGCTAATGCAGTGACCCACACCACCTTGTCAAAAAAAAGTCTTTTTAAGGTTTTCAATAATATAAAACCCAAGCAACATTTAGCCCTTTTGTAGAGTAAAAACTTTAATGAACTGCTATCGTACCTTGCCAGCACTTCTTACACCTTTCCATAAAGAAAAGTATACCAACACGAAGACACCGAAGACGCAAAGAGCAAGCGATGGTTTTATAGGGCCCATATCATCTAGGCCGTTGGATCGCTGTTGTTCCAAAACGTTACGCCTGTTAACATAGTAATTATTATACATTAATAAATCCCCTAACACATCTCATTAGAAATTTGTATAATGAACCTGCTCTGAAACTCACTCAAAGAACTCTTTAGCCGGCGTGGTAGCATTGGGATTGTTCTGCGGGGATGTAACAGGTGAACAGAGAGGTGTATTCCATTCGTTGTCGCAACTGGTCCAGGGCAGCACGGAGTTGATGGAGGCCAGGGACGCCACTAGATAGTACACCGCCCAGCCGATGATCGTGTTGTAATACATGCCCATGTAGATGTCGATCATGCATATTGCGTAACCTACCCCTGTGTAATATGAACTCGTATGAAAAGAGCGATATAATGTCTTTGTTGTTTTTGGAATAATACGTTATGAATACAAGCGGTCATAAACAAAAGACGGCAGCTTTAAATTGGACTGATGCTGGATTGCTAGGCAACCGAATGCTGCTCTTCTCTTATTAAATATGCCTTACAACCATATTCGAACATTTTAAATCCAATTAGAGTTCTCAATCGGGCAATTCACGCCTCGGAAACTTGTTGCGAAGTTGTCGCCATATTTGATAGAATCAGTGCCATCTGCCGGCTCAGTATCAACGCGTTCGCTAATTAGTTTAGATGCGATAAGATTTATCTCAAACGATAGATCTCTCCGACTAATAAATCGAATTTACTGCTGCAAATACTGTTTGTTATCAGATGAAATTTACCATCAACAGTGAATATAAGTATATTAAATATAATTTTTGAAAATTAAACTTAAAATTTTCTTATATTGAGTTTTCTTATCTAAGATAAGCGTACAACATAACTTCAGTCCTCTTTTGGAAATAGATTCTAGGCGGCAATATATACAGCGATTGAGGAAAACGTGCTTGCTTTGATAAGAGCCAAGGGGAAGGATGGTATGAGGGAAAGAGATGGTTAGTGGAGATAACAAATTCCAACATTCATATATCATATTAACGTTTGGTATTACAACATTATATTTCATTTGACTAGCTTGTTTGAATTTCGTAAATATAAACTTTAAAAACTTAATTTATCCCATTCAATTACGTGTGTATACAAAAGTAAATTAGTTTAATTATGAAAATTATGTCATACATACACTGAATTCAATAATATCTGTTATTTAAATTGTGTATATATTTTTTATCTGTCTTTTCGAGGGTCTCTATCCGTAACAAAAGTATTTTCTTGTCTTGTAATTTGACTAATCCGCGCACCCTAAGATCCACGATCTTTGGTGAAAATAACTTGCAAAAGAAACTTTTCGTTTAAGTAACGATCGGATCATAAAAACTATTGTAGCTTTGCTAAAGACTTTTTAATTGTAATTGTTTTTATGTGATATTTTTCTTTATAGACGTTCGGATCTGTAATCGAAGAAGTTGTTATTTTAATTGAATATATGTATGTAATTATTTATAATTATTAATGAAAATTATTAAATATTCTATTATTTAAGTAACATTATACATAAAATCGGTATTTATTGTGACGAGAATAGTCGGTAGCCGTGTGTCCAGTCAGATGACCCTCGCCGATGAGAGCTGTTTAAATATTTGAGGAAAAGATCGTTCGACATCAGCTAAAGATTCTTTCAATACTTTTATTAAACGAATTGGAACATTTGCAATATTTTAAAACGATTTCAATTTAAAAAAGTTTTATTATTCACTAAATTTACTATATCATGAATAGTGCGTTACGATTTTTCTTAAACTTGACTCCATTTATTTTAGTGTTAAAAATTCATGACCTTAAATAAATGATTTTAAGTACATATAAAAAAGAAATTGCAACAATGAGATGCCTAACTCAATGTATTATATTATTTATTGATAGACGAATTCTAAATCTGGATTATAAAAGCATTTCTTACATTTGGTCTTTTCAAATTAGTTTCTAAGAATGTGATCTCCAATTCTCGTCGATGTCATACATTTTAATGTAGCGGTGTAGTGTCCACCATTTGTCTTGGGTTAAAAGCATTGCTTCTGTATATTTATGAAGGCGACCAAGTGGCTAAAGAATTGACTCGGAAACTATTTGGTTTATAGTGACTTTTTAAGGTCTCCTAACTTAAATACTTATGAGCTTGGATATCCTGGGATTGGAAAACTTTTAAAGTTTTATATTTTTTCTATATTCAATTATGTATTTATATTGGATATTTGGTGTACACATATTTTTCTAATGTCCATTGTAAAACTCTGTTTATACTTCAGTTTCAGGTTAAAAGATATTTTCGTTGTAAATTTTGTAAAAGAGAAGTATCGAAATGCTTTGTAAATATAAGCAATTACGCTAAATACTAATGGCTATGAGTCTGTTGTAGCAACATCGATTCCTCTGGGATATGAGGAGAACGATCAACAATACGACAATCCACAGTAAACAACACACAATGAAATGATTTCGTACGCTAGGGCCCATTAAATTACAATAGAAAGTCTTCAATGACTAAGCTCCTTATTTATTTTTACAATCAAACTAATGCTTTGGTGACTTGGGATATGACGATGTAGGGGAATTTTCGATTGCTATACCTATTATGAACTATAAAATTTACTAACTATTACATAATTTATAATTAGTATATAGAAAAAAAAAGCTTTCAAATTTATTATCGATATATATATATTTAGTAAGTTTTATATACAAATGTTATTAGAAAGTACATATGATTCGAAAAATCACATTGGTACTTGCCCGGGCCAGGATCGAACCCGCGCCCTCGGCGACGAGAGGCGGGTTCTCAACCACTGAGCCACCACTGACTTACTAAGAGTATTTAGACATCACTGATTAATGTTGTTTCCCAAAAAGAGGGTTGATGTCAGGCAGGCGGCCGGTCGTAAAAACAAAAAGCCAAAAACTATTCACAACATGTAAGGCAGACCCTGGCTATAGCTGGGAAATTGCCAGGTAGAAGAAGAATATATAAATGTTATTACCTTTTAAAGCGGGGCAGATTCTCTTCCAAAGTGTTAGACATCCGCATCTATGGAACTGCCCCAGAGCAAGCTCCATGAAGAACAGCGGCAGTCCACCGAATAACAGCATCACGCAGTAGGGTATCAGGAAAGCACCTGGATAAAAGGAAGATAAATTGTGTTACTGATTCATTGTATATATACTTGTTTCTTTAATAACCACTATCACTATTATTTGATATTTTCTTTCAAGAAAAATTCAGAATAAATTATATATTTATGTGTTCATAAGTTTTTAAAGTTCGTAATGGTGTCTATAGTAATAATGAATTGCTGGGTGTTAGTTTCGAAATGACAGAAACCACCACGTCCAGGGCATAAACTAATAGCACAGCTCTGTAATTTAGATTGTTCTTTACACAATTGTATAGCAAATTAACTATTTATAATTAATTTATTTTTTTTTATATTTTAAATACAAAATGAATTCTTAACAATCCTTCTTTTATTAACATCAGTGGCGACCCTCTTATTATATATCTAAGTATAACTCATATAAGTATGGGAAAACTTCCATTCACCCCATTTCTAAAAGCTACTCAACATTCTTTTCTGCACCACTGTTTGATCACTCTTTGAACACTATTTATTTAACTCTCACTCATTCAGAGAACATTAATGACGAATGCAGCAGAGAAATTGTAGCAGAGTTACTATATCACTTGAAAAATTTTGCTTGTAATAAATATTAAATCTTCACTGTATTAATATTAACATTTTATGAATGGAAGAAGTCTTCGGTTCAAAGTTCTAATCTTTTAAAATACTTGTACGATTGTAAAAGTTGAAGCTTGCGCTTAAAACTAAAGTATTTCTACCAGTCATACTTGTTATTGGTTCTCCTTAGAAACACATCATTTGCTCTTCTAATTACGTAAAAATAACTACGTAAAATTATCATGGAGCCATTGAATTTTATAACTTGAAAACTTATTCTGTTGAATGATATATAATGTGAACATACCACCGCCGTTCTGGTAGCAGATGTAAGGGAACCGCCACACGTTCCCGAGGTCCACAGCGAACCCAACCACAGCCAGGAGGAACTCAGCCTTCTTCGCCCACGTCTCCCGCTGACGCTCCGGTGTCAGAGACACCACCATTGATCGAGGCTTGTGGCTCTGACGTCATAGATAAGTACGTTAGTATGATGAAACATGGACTAAAATCGATATAACGATTAACATAGGACTTACATTGTTAGCTGGTTGTGTGAAGGTGTTGTCGTTTTGTGTGGGTGAGGTCGGAGTGTCGAGCGGAGCGGGAGCGGAGGTGGAGGCGGTGGTGATGGCGGAGGTGGTGGCGGGCGCGGAGAATGCGGCGGACGGCATGTCTTCAGTGTCGCCGTACCGCCGCTCCGGCCCAGGGCTATCGCCCTGGTAAAGAACATTCGATTATATATCATAACATATATTGTAATCTGTAGGGTTTTATATACACTATCATTTTCTTACTACGTTAATACGTTACGTTAGAATACGTTAAATGCATGAGTAATAACGGTAGAGTTATTAGTTTTATAGTTATATATTTTGTAATGATTTTCATTTTAATTTCATTAGTCTTCATGATGGTTTGAGAATATAAGAGTTTGTCTGATAACACCGTCCAAAAACACCTCAAAATCTGACTCAATTTAGACTGTATAAATGAAGTTGTAATTCCAAGTTAAAAAAAATACGTTTAAAACATTTTTTTTATAGTAGGCTCAAGTTGCAGACGACGATTTGCTTTATTTGTGTTTGTGTTTGAGAGCAAACGGAACAGATTGCTTGGTAAATAAAAATAATTAAGTGTGACCCTTCCGCGTTTACACTTGTGTGTACTTGGCTTTACAACCTTATTGTATTTATAATATTGATTGAAACGAGGCGAAAAACTTTAACAACTTGTTGCTTTTCGATGACATAAACCGTTTATAAATGTTCAAAACTCATAGACATGTAAGTTTCCGACTATTGTATATGTATATTTGTAGTTATATCAGTCTTATTATCAAGAAGCAGGTAGTCAATGAAAGATGAATGCTGTCAGTCCAGACAGATGAACGATCAGTCATGATTATATGAAACAACAGAAAAACTATTTCTTAGAATATATAAATGGCTGTCTTAATCTTTATTTGCGAAATGAATTGAGTATCTATAATCAATTAGTGTTACTTATGTGGAAGACTGAGCGCTGTAATGAAAACGGACGGGTTTAGATGGTCCTTAATAAAATGCTTTTATGGTGGAAAGGGATTAGCCGACGATTTAGTTACTTAAACGTTAATTGAAGTTGGATGTCTTTTAACGCAGCTACACTTTTTTCGGTGATCAATAATAATTTATATACAAATAGATATTACGTTAAATAGCACTGTTATTAACATTTAATAATTATAATTTTGTCTAGAAAAGTTTTGTTTAGGCAACTTTATTCTGTCAATGCCATAATTGAATAAAAAAAATATATTATCAATGTATATCCTTCGATTGGATTATCAAGAAATCTGACAAATCGTATACAATTGTCATTTTGTGTCTAAGCCTTAACAGAAAGTATCGCTTATTAGACATTTTGATATGATGTAGTTTAAAGATATGGTAGGCATATGAAAGTTATATAGAAGGATTTATGACAATCTTGTTAGTTTAAACATCATTATTTTATGGTAAGTCAATTTGTTAGGTATTATATAAACGAAAATAAATAGAAATAATCGTTTTAGAGTTTTTACATATACATAGGAACAAAATACAATTTGCCTAACTTTTATGCCAGGAAATTTGGTATGGCATTTTTAAAGCGTTTTTAAGAGGAGCGTAACAAAATATCAAGAGATAAAATTCAAATTGTCCACGCAAGCGGCATTCTGGGATGTTTACGAGCTATCTAACGTTATTGTCAATAAAATATACGAAACGCAATGTGGCCGCGGCTACGGCAGACGCTCGAAAATACTGCTCTCATGTTATATGCTAGTCATTATGAATACTTAAAAATACATTCATAAAATTAAAGGTGTTTTAAAACAACGCCAATTATGTCACACAATTCAATTATTATAAGTCAACAGTTGAAAAATGAAACTTAGTACTTAATAAACATTTAACAAAAAAGACTTTTGTGTTAATGAATTCAATTTAAATGTGAAAAGTCTTTTATTTAGTTTGAAAATGAAAATAATAATGAATATATTATCGGAGGTATGATTGTGAATATTGAGTTTTCAATTTTAGTATTTGTCTTTGATTTGTTAAGAGAATTTGTATTGATCTTGTAAAATTGTTATGGATTTTTGGGCAGAACAAAATGGATTACAGATTTTTTATTTAAAGAAATTTAACAACTTTATAATGAATGTTTTTGTAAACATTTATTTGTTTGTCTGACAAGAGATGATTAACATAGGTATATGTTTTAGATCTGTCGTCACATTGTAAAAAAGATTTGTATTTACTCTGTAGTACTTAGTACAACTATATTCTGTTACATCCAAAACATTTTTTATAATTTCAACTATTTGTAGCATGAAAAGTCGCATGTAAAATCTTAAACGTTATAATTTTAAATAACTTCTAACTAGTTTTGAACTAGATATAATAAGTATATCATGCCTATTTCATTGTGCTGTTAATATTATTTTATATTTTTAAATACATTTACATACATTATATTTATTTATAAATATAGTATTTGTGAATTATGGATTAATATTTTCATAATATTGCCTCAAATATTTATCGATGTCGAATTACAACCGGCCTCACGGTATTGATAAAAGGAAATTAGCTTGATAGATTTCGGCTCGTCTCAACAGACGTTGTTCTTACACCATTTTATATTTAGACTCATACGTGCAATTATTCTAATCAATTCAATCAAGATCAATATTTGTTGGTTTTTTAAAGTTATTAAAATATACTTATATCGGGATCAATCATTACTTCTATATATATATATATATATATATTGGATTTAATGGCATAATTTATGAAAAATCATGGTGATAGCCCTTAAATCTCGAAAAAATGTGAAGTTGTATTGTAAAAATCTCGAACCACACTGCACTGTCGTAGTTTTTCTCATATTTTCAGATTTTTGATTTTAAAAAGTGAAAGGAGTGTGACAGCCCTGTTTTATATTGTTTTGTAATAAATACTGACGTCATGGATGTAAAATTTTGTCTCACTTGTAATTTTACCATGAATTTGCTATATAAATGAAAGTTATGTCAATCTGTAATATATCTAATGCAGCCCTTAATAAATGTATCAAGTCTGGGTCCAGCAATGTGGGCATTACAATCCAAGGTAGTTGTCGGCGCTCATCGCATACCTGAAGTAAAAGCTCTGACAACCATTCACACGAAATACACGGAATACTTGTACGTAATTGTCGGGACTAATTTGGGACGCTAAATTCACTATATAATAATTCCATAATAATTTTAATATACCGTTTATATATAAAATAATATTTAGTTAAGTTACAAATATTAACGAGAAGTTAGAGTTTTTATTTCTTTCGTGTATAAAATCCTTTTTATTTGTAGTTTCAAAGTTTTATTGTACTTATGTAATCCTATCCTAAACCTGGATGTAGTTCACCAAAAACTATTACTGGAAGTGTAATACACTTCCAAACAATATTATCAAGTTTGGACACATCGTGGTCTTAGTCTGAGAGTTGAGACTATCATGTATTAAACAGGTATACGCTACCTTTAATAGGTAGAAGTTCACAGGGTCACTACAGACAGAGTGCATAAAATTTTTCATTCATTAATATTAAACGCGAATATTTATAAGTGGAAAACTCATAACGCGTCGTACGAAGTGTGATTATGTGTACAAACATAGTATTCCCATAAAGGGACTTTCATTGAAATATCTTTGAAGCGTAAATAATATCAGAGCCTTCCGTTTGTTCTTCCTTTTAAACATTTGGAACATTTTTGTTATTTAAGATTGTTGGCTCGCGTTAGTCATATATTTTTTTGTTACAAACACGTAATATATCATTATTATTAAATATTCATTAAACGCAATGTATGTAAGTAGACCTTCTATACCATAAATATTAAATACAAAAATATTTTTTAATAACATTAGGTTTGCAAAGGTTTAATTGATCTTATCAATATTTAAAAAAATTCTTATCATAACTGAAGTATTTAATATTTAATTTTTTTTTGTTTTATCGAATTCTTGTTTGAGTTTTTATGTTATTAATTACAATCAATGAATTAATAAACTCGGTTCCTACAGAGAATCCTGTCCCTTCAACAAGCCAAATCGTCTTTACTAAAGTGACAAATGTTTATTGTTGTCTACATGAATTTATCATTCTTTGAACGTCATTCATTACACACATCATTTTATAATATTGTTCCTCTAATGAGATCTAAGACTTCCGCGAGTTTTATTCATTTTAAATGAAACTATTATTTTTCGGATATTATAAACAAGAAAATTTATCTGCCATTATCATGGTTCCTAAAAAGCAGCCGAAACGTCGTTAGTATGTAGTTTTCTTAAAGCACGCGTAGTATATCCGAAAAATATTAGTTACATTTAAATATTGATCCTCCTCTGTGTTAAAATTCTATGTCGGTATTTTTTATTGTTTTTATTTTAAGTGAGGTCTTCAAAAAACATAATCCCAAGGAGAAGTCAAGGTCCGTAGCCCCTTCTCTGGAATGCCTCTTGCGTATTTCACGATGTTTGTACTCGGAGGTTCTTTTGAAATATTTCTCAAGATGATTCAAAGTTTTCTTGATAACATTTCTCTCGAGTTTTTTCTTTGTTAGAAAACAATCTTTGATATCTTTCTGTGTTTAGTTTTTTAAGTTGTTTATAAAGAACTTTAAACTTTTTAATTTTTTTAAGTCAAACAAAGTTTTATATTTTCTTTATTTGGTTTATTTGTACTTTATTATATAATTCAAAAAACGTAAGGACGAGATGTTTCGGTTTTAGAGGCCATATAAAATTAGCATAAAGTAAGTGATCATAATCTAGGCTCGTGAATGTTGTAAAATAAGAAATAAAAATGTCGTTTAATATGATTGATGATTTAAAAAACACCAAATAGGTTTATTGCATGCTTAAGGACATATTTTTCAAACGAGGCAGTTATATGTTACTACCCTCATCACCAGTAATAAAATTTTCTTTAGTCCCATTTTTAAATATACTCATTAATAAATTTAAATACTCAAAGTAACCAAGTATGCAAGTATTTTTTTAATTTCAAAGTAAGTATTTTTGTTTATTAAAGAAAATATTAGATTTTAAAGGCATTTTCTTCTAATAAAAAAAGGTATATATATCATAATATATTCCCTTTTTATTAAAGCCTTACCTTATGCTTAAGTAGTCGTCAGCGTTCCGGCGAGAGGAAGCTCATGTCGAATCGGAGTAAATGCGTCATGGCTGTATGGGTCGTGTGATCGTCTTGAAGACTGGACTTGTACTGAGACTATGAGACTGTGGTCCAGATGGATGAAGCGATGCTGCTGGTGAGTGTAGGCGTGGCCGACACGCCCACCGCAACAAGTTGCCTCCACTGGATATCTGATAACGATACATTTTAATATTTTTCTCCAAAAGGCACTTTTACAACAGGTTACCGTGAAAGATAAATTTTACTGGCACCTTGCCAGATATTCAATATGACTTTTAAATGTTGTTATTTGTTTGATTACAAAATGAAGAGGTTTTAAAGTCAATAGAGAATAGAGAATATGGTTTTTTGTAGTTAAGTCATAATTCATAAACATGCATTTTCTTCTATAGTTTCTCCGTGATAACTGTAGAATAATTTTTAAACTTCCTATATTAAAATAGTATAACTTTTTCTTTTAATCTCTTATAGTTAACTTAACTGTAAAACCACAGCTATCTCACCACCAGGAATCATATATTTAAGCTCAAATGTATAAATAAAAATCTTCGACAAAGGAACGTCTGTTGAGAAGTATTCCTTAAGAATAGATAAATAGTAAGAAGAGTCCCGCCCCCGGGTCCGATGTGATTTCAGCAGATTGGACCAATCTTGAGGGTATCACACTCCAGCCTTCATCATGATCGATGAGAATAATCAACTGTTACTCCCTGCTTTATGGGATGCTGTTTACTACAGTTTAACCGACTTACAGAAATATGTGTTCTGTTAACCACTTCGATTTGTTTTAATAGATTTCATTTTATAGATCTTAAGCTTGACTTCCTTTTCATTAATCCTTCAAAAAACGTTGTCAATACGTGAAGGATCAGAGCAATACTCATATAAAAAAAATCATTAACACCAACTAACTAATAAAAGTGTATCAATAATAATTTAGTTCAATTCAATATGTGATGATAAACATATCATTCCAGATATTAGAAGTGGTTTGTAAATATAAGTTAGTTTCGTAAAAAGTACAAAAAAATATTGAATATTAAATTAATAAAAGCGAATGGTCTAGTTTAAATAATAAAAAGTAAGAACTGTTTAATGTGACATTACGAAATGAAATATCCTTATAGGTATATCTATTGTACTTATATAATTTAATTGTATGGCTAACATCATTGTATATGTAGATTGTAGAACAATCAATAAATTACGTACCAACAAAACGTAACGTTCAATATCTTAAAACATTTTGTTAAATTCTCGTAAAATAACACGATTTAAGTATGGTTTATTAGTTATATAAAAATAAATAAATCTTTATAATATAATGAACATAAATAAATCATATCGTGTTAAAAAAACATAAATATAAGATCTACCTAAAAAAAGTAAATGCGATTCATTAGATTAACAAAATTTTTTGATAGATGAAATTGTATGGTTATTTATTAGTTTTGACTTCTTTTATATTTGTATTGTGTATATATGTAGTGTAAAAATATTTAAAAACTAATGTAAGAGACATTACATCAAGTGTAGGTTCCGATTTTAAGTAAAATAATACTTAGTTTATTGCGAGCAAAGTAACAGACATAAGCTAGTATATCATCTCGTTGTTTTTCATAAAATATTTCAGTTTAAATATAATATTTAAAAGATCTATATTATATAAAATTTATAACAAATAGAAAAAAATATGTTTACACTTAAGAAGTTAAGTAACACATCAAAATTCAGTTGTGTTTTAACGTCTGTATTTATCAAGGTTTGTAACATCTAATATACAGGGTGACTGGTGAATTACTATCAATATTTAAGGAGAATACTCGGTGCATGATTCTCATTCGAATTATGTAAAAAAAATAGGTACTTAATTTTTGACAAAATTTCCGTATAAATAAATAAAGTGTGTACACGTTCCAAGTGTTCAAGTGTGGACGCGTGCGGCGGCGTGCTGATACAACACTACGTCACGACACGCGTATGTGTGAGTTTCAGTGTATACCTAATCTGTAGGGTGTTCATACGATGCGTAATTAATTACATAACTTTTGGTTAACTTTACTTAGAAGTTTATTAATATTTATGTTATATTAATTTTTATTTTGTCATATATTATCGTCAAATATCACGTCCTCAAATATCGATAGTAATTCACCAGTCACCCTGTATACGTATTTTATTTCAGAAAATTATTGCGAAAAAATTGTTTCACATCTTGAACATTATTTGAAACGATGTATCAAAATACACTCATAATAAATAAATATATTTTTAATATGAACAATTGAAGTATCTTTCATAAATTTGATATTACCCTCAGAAAATTTTTGAGAATCATCACGCAGCTATATTGACAATTAATTTTCCCTAATATAGTTTTTATTTAATGGGTTAGAAACATTATTTTTTATCTCAATCATTATAAGACTAAACTTTATAACATTGGTTTTTAATTATTTCTGTACAATTATTTGGATTTAATAAAATTCAAAGGTTATTTATGCATTTTTTTCTCTAAAAGTTTCATATACATTTCACTAATTTTTGCGTATTATCTATCACGGATATGTCAAAAAATCAATTAATTAAAATTTATCCTTTAGATTCACATTAAATTAAAACTAAAATTTATTAACTTCCATATAATAATCATTTATTTACTTGCATTAAAAATCTTAACTGTTTTTGTGTCCATAATTTTAAATTAATTTAAACCGCGTCTATTGCAGTTTTTATTATACTCTTAATTGATCTGAAAAGGGAGGATGTAAATGTTTAAAAATCACTCTCGCTTTTTCTAACAATAAAACTATTAAATTGAGATAATCACAGCTAGAATCTTCAGAAGAGATAGATAATGGTTTATAAAAGATACAATCTACACAACTAATGTTTTAATATTAAGTTTTTAGTCATAGAGACATAATAAGTAATTCTTAATTTTAATTTCATTTACAAAGAAACAAAACTTCCCATCATCCAATGTATTTACCGTGCGAGTGTCGTGTCCATCGTTGTAGTGAGAGGAGCTTCAACAGTGACTGGGACTTGCGACCCAGGCGTAGGTTTAAGGAGCCCTTATCTAACGCTATATTTAAATATAAATACTATAAAATACAAAATATATATTTTGTGTCTTCTATAATATAATGAAAATACGGAAGTTACTAAAACTTTCATTATTCTTTCAAAATACAAGAAGCAATCATAATGGACATTAAGACTTCTCTTCACTTTACATTATGAAAATTTAATTAAAATTTTGTTTTACATCCTTCTACAATATGAATAATCGTTTATCATGACATTAGTTTTCTTTAGAAACTTATTGAGAAACAAAATCTGTATTAATTTATTAAATGTACATTAACATATCGAAACAGACAGTAATACTTCTTAGATATAGATACATTCATATAACTTTATTTATTATCATAAAATGTTGACTGTTGTTATGTTTTTTCATTGATTTAAAGTAACGACAGCTATCAACACTGTCATACAAATATGATTCTTTAGATTCACAAATTGTATTTAAAGGGAAACTTTATTAATAACTAAGTAGGTATATTGAGATCAAAGATTTTCGCGAGTATTTATTTAAAGGAAACTAACAGCTATGATGACTATTTTTCGGATTATATTATGCGAATTTTTTTTTAAACTACATACTTCCGACGTTTTGGTTACATTTCAGTGTTATTACGGGCAGACAAGATGTGTGTACATTGTAATCCGAAAAATATTAGTTTCATTTAACTAATTTTATTTTTATCCAAAAACGAAGAGATGTATGCATGTATTGTAATTTTAATGAACATATAAGTCGGACCGTCAAAGAGATTGCTTGCCCGCATGACCTCTTATCGCTGATGTGGATAGAGTTAGATGAAACATATACACATGTATTGTTACTGTTACATATTTTGTACCCTTTCTCTTAAATGTAATCTATTCATTATGAAATATGGACACCAATAGTCTGATATTCAGAGTTATAGACTATTTGTAATATAACTTGAGGATTTTTTTAAAGTAATATATACTCTTATATGAGTGATTAAAAGTGCTGATTGTTATTTAGGCTTTCTAATAAAGTCGACATACATACATAACGATGGACCCGCACCGTGACTACATTGAATGATAAGAAGTTTCCGAGTAAAACCTTAACATTAATAAATTGATTTTTATATAGAATTATGAAATAATCCCACTTTTGTTTACTTGTAAATGATTACATTATAGGAACGATTGAACGACCTAAACACTTTTTACGAAATTATTTCTTTCGAAAATAAACTATGTATATTAAGAATCATTTTAATATATATCAGATATTTCATGTAAAATTTTATTCTTGAAAGTTGGAGCAAAGGTAATATTTATAATAATTGTGTAATTGTGTTTGTCTTTTAAACACAGTGTGGCTAATTACTGCGATTACGTCAGGAGTGTCTTATGTTCTGTTTTATCAATAGTTTTGTTCTATTACAAAAAAAATTGTAATAATGAACAAGTTACCTTATATTATATTAGTAGCAGAATGAATAAATATATTGTAATTACAGTCAGTCGTCAATTTAATGTAAATTACGGCGATATCATGTTTTAAAAAACGTCTTAGAATAACCCTATGAGTCTACAGATAGAGGTGAATCAGAACATCTAATGTATTACATAATATGGCAATATTTTAAACTTACTTTAACTGCAACTAAGTTAACTTTTAATTCTTGGAAAAATAATCAAAATTGTTTTGTATCCCTGAACCCACTTAATATATATTACAGTATAATTTTCGTACGCTTTTATGTTATTAAAAGACATCTGACTATTGATTCTTTCATACTATAAAAAGCAGTGATTCAATCATACAATAGATTGATATTTGTTCTCCATATAAGAATATTGTTCACCTTTAAAGTATAAGGAAGACATCATCATGGGACTCATGGTACAGAACATTAATTTCTCTCTCCGTTTTTCTTTAACCACTCTAAAGATGGCCGGTCTCTGGGCGCCGCACGGAATGAAAACCAGGAGGAAGGCTCTGTATTATTGTTATACTTTTGTAATTCTCATGTTTATCTTGGGTAAAAGATTTTCTTTGACATATTTTTTAATCTTTTATGAACATTTTATTGTTATTTTCAACGATTATAGATAATGTGAAGTACAGTGA